GCTATTCTGGGTCTTTTATTTTTCCATATGAATTTCATGATTGCTTTATCTATTTCTACAAGAAATGCCATTGGGATTTTGATTGGCATTGCATTAAACCTATAGAGAACTTGTGGTAATATCGCCATTTTGATGATGTTAGTTCTGCCTATAGATGAACAGGGTATATTTTTCCATCTTCTAATATCTTCTTCTACTTCTCTTTTTAGGGTTTTGTAGTTTTCATTGTATAAGTCCTTCACCTCTTTTGTTAGGTTGATTCCCAAGTATTTTATTTTTTTTGAGGATATTGTGAATGGAGTGTTTTTCCTCATTTCCATTTCAGAGGTTTTGTCACAGAAACCGCAGTCCAGCCAACAATCCCAATCCACAAACTCTCCCTATATAAAAAAATATTCAAAAAAAAAAAAAAAAGGCAGGGCGCACTGAGCTTTCTTTGCCTCGGGTACTTACAATCAAATGCTGATTACACATTCACCTTTTCTGCCCGGAGCGAAGCGAAAGAGGAAGCAGATGGGAGCAAAGCGCCCGCGGCTTTGGGCGGCAAAGCGTCCGGGAGTCAAGCGTCTCTTTTGCGATCTCTTTGGTCTTCCTGCTGCTTGGCAAAGTGGTCCGCTACAGATTAACGGTGAAAGGGTTCTTACACGCTGTGCGAAATCTTGATTAAAGCCGCTGCTCTGAGCACCACGCTCAGCACTTCAGCAATCCCTGTGCACAGCGGCCATCTTCCTCGGTATTTTATTATTTTTGAGGATATTGTGAATGGAGTGTTTTTCCTCATTTACATTTCAGAGGATTTGTCACTGATATACAGAAATGCCTTTGATTTATGTGTGTTGATTTTATATCCTGCCACTTTGCTGAATTCATTTATTAGTTCTAGTAGTTTTTTTGTAGATCCTTTTGGGTCTTCTAGGTATAGAATCATGTCTTCCGCAAATAGTGATAGTTTAAGTTCTTCTTTTCCTATTTTTATGCCTTTAATTTCTTTCGTTTGTCTAATTGCTCTGGCCAGTGTTTCGAGAACTATATTGAATAGAAGTGGTGATAGAGGGCATCCCTGTCTTGTTCCAGATTTTAGAGGGAATGCCTTCAATTTTTCTCCATTCAGAATGATGGTAGCCTGAGGCTTAGCATAGATAGCTTTTACAACGTCGAGGTAAGTTCCTGTTATCCCTAGTTTTTCTAATGTTTTGAACATAAAGGGATGCTGTACTTTGTCGAATGCTTTTTCTGCGTCTATTGAGATGATCATATGGTTCTTATCTTTAAGTCTATTGATGTGGTGAATAACATTTATTGATTTCCGTATATTGAACCATCCTTGCATCCCAGGGATGAATCCTATTTGATCATGGTGCACAATTTTTTTTATGTGTTTTGTATCCGATTCGCCAGAATTTTATTGAGGATTTTTGCATCTAGGTTCATTAGAGATATTGGTCTGTAGTTTTCTTTCTTTGAGTTGTCTTTGTCTGGTTTCGGAATCAGGGTGATGTTGGCCCCATAGAATGAATTTGGAAGAGCTCCCTCTTTTTCTATTTCCTGAAATAATTTGAAAAGTATTGGTATTAATTCTTCTTTAAAGGTTTTGTAAAACTCCGCTGTATACCCATCTGGTCCTGGGCTTTTCTTGGTTGGTAGTCTTTTGATTGCTTCTTCTATTTCATCCATTGATATTGGTCTGTTCAAATTGTGTGTATCCTCCTGACTCAGTCTGGGCAAATCATATGACTTAAGAAATTTATCGATGTCTTCACTATCTTCTATTTTATTGGAATATAGGTTTTCAAAATAATTTCTAATTGTCTTCTGTATTTCTGTAGCATCTGTTGTGATATTGCCTTTTTCATCCCGTATGTTAGTAATTTGAGTTCTCTCTCTTCTTCTCTTCGTTAGCATGGCTAAGGGTCTGTCGATCTTATTTATTTTTTCAAAGAACCAACTTTTAGTTTTGTTAATTTTTTCAATAGTTTCTTTTGTTTCAATTTCGTTGATTTCCGCTCTGATTTTAATTATTTCTTGCCTTCTGCTACATTTGCTGTTGTTTTGCTCTTCCTTTTCTAGGGCTTTGAGATGAAGTGTGAGCTCATTTATTTGTTGGTTTTTTCTTTGTTTAAGGAATGACCTCCAGGCGATGAATTTTCCTCTTAAAACTGCTTTCATTGTGTCCCATAGATTCCGATATGTTGTGTCTGTATTTTCATTTATCTCTAAGAATTTTTTGATTTCCTCCTTTATGTCTTCTGTAACCCATTGATCATTCAGTAAAATATTGTTCATTTTCCATGTGATGTAGGATTTTTCCTTCCTTCTTTTATCATTGATTTCCAGTTTCATTCCATTATGATCAGATAAAATGCATGGTATTATCTCCACCCCTGTATATTTACTGAGGGTTGCCCTATGGCATAATATATGGTCTATTTTTGAGAAGGATCCATGTGCTGCTGAGAAAAAAGTATATCCACTTGATGATGGTTGATATATTCTATATATGTCAGTTAAGTCTAGGTTATTGATTGTGATATTGAGTTCTATAGTTTCTTTATTCAACTTTTGTTTGGAGGATCTGTCCAATGGTGAGAGAGGTGAGTTGAAGTCACCCATAATTATTGTGTTGTGGTCTATGATTCTTGAACTTGAGAAGAATTTGTTTTATGAACGTCGCAGCACCATTATTTGGTGCATAAATATTGATAATTGTTATGTCTTGTTGGTGAATAGTTCCTTTTAACAGTATATAATGTCCTTCCTTATCCCTTTTGATTAACTTAGTCTTGAAGTCGATTTTATTCGATATGAGGTTGGCCACCCCTGCTTGCTTACGAGGACCGTGTGCGTGGTATATTTTTTCCCAACCTTTCACCTTCAGCCTGTGTATGTCTTTTGCAATCAGATGTGTCTCCTGGAGGCAGCATATTGTTGGATTTGTTTTTTTAATCCATGTTACCAGCCTATGTCGCTTTATTGGAGAGTTTAAGCCATTAACGTTTAGAGTTACTATTGATATATGGTTTGTACTTCCAGCCATGTTTGTTTATTTATCTTTTTTTTTAATTTAGTTTGTTTCTCCATGATTAGCTTTCCCCCCACCCTCTGTCTTTACTGAGGCACTTCCCACTGATGGTTTTGGTTATTGTTTTTCATTTCTTCCTCGTGTAGTGTTTTGCTCAAGATGCTTTGCAATGCTGGTTTTCTGGCTGCAAATTCTTTTAGCTTTTGTTTATCATGAAAGATTTTTATTTCGTTGTCGTACCTGAAGCTTAATTTTGCTGGATACAGAATTCTTGGTTGGCATCCATTGTCTTTCAGTGTTTGAAATACATTGTTCCAGGATCTTCTCGCTTTCAGCGTCTGTGATGAAAAATCCGTTGTTAACCTTATTGGTTTACCCCTGAATGTAATCTGCCTCCTTTCTCTTGTAACTTTTAATATTTTCTCTTTGTTCTGTATATTGGATATCTTCATAACAATGTGTCTTGGCGTTGGTCTACTGTGATTTTGTATGCTTGGTGTCCTGTATGCATCTACAATTTGTATATCTGTTTCCTTTTTTATTTCTGGAACGTTTTCTGTAATTATTTCATTCAGCAGGTTACTCATTCCCTTGGTTTGATTCTCTATACCTTCCTCTATCCCGATGACTCTTAAGTTTGGTTTTTTTATGTTATCCCATATCTCTTGGATGTTTTTCTCGTGATTTTTTACCAGCCTTTCTGAGTTGACTAGACTCTTTTCAAGATGATATATTTTGTCTTCATTATCTGATGTTCTGGCTTCTACTTGCTCAACTCTGTTAGTGATACTCTCAATTGAGTTTTTAATTTGTTTTATAGTTTCCTTCATTTCTAGAATTATTGTTTGATTTTTTTATAATCTCTATCTCCTGATAAAGATGCTTAACTTCTTCTTTTATCTGTTTATGTAATTCATTTTCAATGTGTTCTTTCACTGTTTAAATTTGCTGTCTCATATCCTCTTTAAGGTTCCATTCCATCTGTCTAAGGTATTCCTTGAGTTCTGTATATGACTATTTTTCTGATGACTCTAGGTCCTCCTGAATATTCAGGCTGTCCTGCATTGTTTGTACTCTTTTTCTTCCTTGCTTTTTCATGCTGCTCATGTTATTTCTTGTTCTGTTTGACTACTGAGTTACTGTTTACTCCTATAAATTTATTTGATGCTTGGGAGGAAAGGTATTAGAAGGGAAGGGAAGTAGTCACTAAAGAGAATGAGAGTAAGCAGGTAGAATTCAAGGAAGGGGGAATAAGAAAATTGAAAAGAAATGAAAAGACAAAAGAAAAAAATAGAAAAGAAAAAAAATTTTTAAAAATAATAAAAAAATTAAAATTAAAATTAGAAAAAAATAAAAAAAAATTTAAAAAACAACAAAAAAAAGAAGAAAAAACCCAAATTTAAAAAAAAATTAATAAATGCAGTCTTAGAGTTTGATTAACTTCTCTTTCAGTAGGTGGAGCTGTGCCCACAGGGCCAAGCTTCTCCTCTCAATATGCAGGAACCAATCACTGTGCAGCAGCTCCTCCTCCCAGACTGGGCGGGTCTCCAATCTTGAGTGCCTAGGGCCTTCTCTTGTGTCTAGTCACTTCCCCACTTTTCCTCAAGCCAGGCCCCGCTCACCAGTGACGCTCACCACAATACTGGCTACACACCAGGTCTGCTGCTCCTGGGAGCCCTGTTTTCATGAACGATTGGGCACACTCTCCCTGTTTGCCATTCCCTCAGACCCTAAGTTTGTAGAGCTTGGGGCTGAGAACCCTCAGTGAATTTTGCTTGCCCTCCGGTAGCCACAGCCCCGGAAGCTGGTGCAAGAGACCTCAGTTGTCAGCACTGGTGGGAGCGGTAGCCGGGAGTTCCGCGCCATGAGTCCTGCGCCACTCCTGATTCCCCTGGTCTGGCTAACGCGCTCACGGGAGAGCTGGGAGGGGCCCTTAAGGTTTCCCCGCTGTGTGGAGAGGGAAGGCTAGTGGATTACACACCTGTCGCCGCTGGTTTCAATGAAGTTATCTCCTCTGCCGCATTCTGGTGACGTCTGTTCTCTGCCATGGTGGTATCCCATGCAAATGGTGACAGTTCGTTCCCTTTGCCGGGTGACCAATGTAACGGGTGGGTCCTGACTGTCTCTCCCAGCCTCGTTTCAATCATGTGGCCACTGCCTATGAAGGCTCGGTTGGCATTTACCTCCGTAGGTTCAGAAGGGCCGACCAGTTGTTCAGCAGGATCGTTTAGTGCTGAGTCACAGCAGTTTGTCTGCGAGAAGCAGGCGAACGGGAGCTTGAATTCAGCCAATCCGGGCTCGGTGTGTGTTCTGAGAGGCCCAGACTGTTCGCCCCAGATCCACGTCAGCTCAGCATTGCCTAGTGATCCTGAGCAAACAGCATTTAGACGGTTTATGACTCCCTATGCCCGCACAGCTGAAGAGGTCAGAGACTTGATCTCTCTGCGCCCACCGCCATGTTCCCAATGTCATTCTAAATGGAGAAAAATTGAAAGCATTTCCTCTAAAAACTGGAACAAGACAGGGATGCCCTCTTTCACCACTTCTATTTAACACAGTCCTTGAAACTCTAGCCATTTATATACAAATAAATGACCATACTACCAAAAAGCACTATACACGTTTAATGCAATTCCAGTCAAAATCCCAATGACAGTCTCAATAGAAAAAAAGCAATAGTGAAATTCATCTGGAAAAATAAGAGACCCAGAATAGTCAAAGAAATCCTTAGAAACAAGAGTGAAGCAGGAAGTATCATAATACCAGACCTTAAAATCACAAGAAATAAAATCAAGAATCAATAAATGGGGGCTGAGGCTGTAGCTCAGTGGTAGAGCATTTGCCTCGCACATGTGGGGCACTGGGTTCGAGCCTCAGCGCCATATAAAAAATAATTTAATAAAATAAAGATATTGTGTGTTTATCTACAACTAAAAAAATATTTAAAATTTTTTTTTTAAAAAAAGAATCAATAAATGGGATGGATTCAAATTAAAAAGCTTCTTCTCGGCAAAAGAAACAATCAGGGAAGTGAAGAGAGAGCATAACAAATGTGAGTAAATTTTTACCATGCGCACATCAGATAAAGCACTAATCTCAAGAATATATAAAGAACTCTAAAAACTTAACACCAAAAAAAAAAAAAAATAACCCAATCAATAAATAAGCTAAGGAACTGAACAGACACTTCTCTGAAGATATACAATCAATCAACAAATATATGAAAAAAAAATTCAACATCTCTAGTAATTAGAGAAATGAAAATCAAAATTATTCTTAAGATTTCATCTTATCCCAGTCAGAATGGCAGTTAATAAGAATGCAAGCAACAGTAAGTGTTGCAAGGATCTGGGGGGAAAGACACACTCTTACATTGCTGGTGGGACTGCAAATTGGTGCATCCAATCTGGAAAGCAGTATGGAGATTCCTTAGAAAACTTGGAATAGAACCACCATTTGACCCAGATATCCCACTTCTCCATCTATACCCCAAAGGACTTAAAAACAGCATACTACAAAGATGAAGCCACATCAATGTTTATAGCAGCACAATTCACAATAGCTAAACTGTGGAACCAACCTAGATGTCCTTCAATAGATAAATGGATAAAGAAACTGTGGTATATATACACAATGGAATATTACTCAGCATTAAAAGAAAATAAAATCATGGCATTGGAAGGTAAATGGATAGAGATGGAGAATATGCTAAGTAAGACAATACCCCAAAACCAAAGGCTGAATGTTCTCTGATAAGTGGATGCTGATCCACAATGGGGAGGGGGTACTTTGTATAGGGCAAAGGGGAGGGAGGGCAAGGGAGAGGGCATAGGAGTAGGAAAGATGGTGGAATGAGACAGTCATCATTACCCTAGGAACATGTATGATGACACAAATGGTCATCACAACCAGAGAAATGAAAAATTGTGCTCCATTTGTGTTCTATGAATCGGAATGCATTCTGCTATCATGTATAACTAATTAGAACAAATAAATTAATTAATTTTAAAAAAAGAAGTTTGGTACAGTCCCAATCAGGCTAACAAAGTTTTAAGGGCCCTATCTTCTCACCACAAAGGGGGTTATAGTGACAAATTGTTCTCCATTCTAAGGTTTTACAGGCTTACTTTTTTCCTTCTCATCCACTCCTTGTTACAGGTCACCTGGCACCTGGGGTTTCATCTTCAGTTGGAAAAACTGGTCCAGTCGAATCTTCCATTTGACTATTGCCTCTCTGGAACCTTTCTCCTGAGGTAGGAATTTAGGGTAAAGAGAGAGATACTGAGTCTTAAAGGAAACACCTATGAGCCATTGATATGCAGAAAGCACTAAGGAATAATGTAATTTCTGATCTGTATGTTCTTGGCCCATGCCCATGTAAAAGGAAATGCACAGGTGCAGGGAAGACTAGCACAAAATTATGTAACTCCACCTTAGTCCACCTCTACTCCAGTCCCTAGCATAGCCTGATTATATATATAAAATACCACACCAATGGGTTTCTGTTTCTCCCTCTGGAGATAGCCCACATTCTTCCTTAAATACTATTCATTGCTTTACCCCAAAGGCAACTCTCTTGAGATTCCCCTATTTCCCCTGGAATGTATCTACTCTCCTAAATAATCTTCTTTCTGTGCCTTTGACTGGCACATATTGAAGTTCTTTGTCATCAATTATGCCAAAAAAACCCACTAGACCTCAGTCAAATTCCCCCTCCCCTCTGGAAACTCCTCAGACACTTTCCGACATCTTCAGAGAAACCTTTTCTCCCATGACACTCTTTTCTTTTCAATGGGGCTAACCTGGGATTGGGGAAGTGGTACTGTAGAGACATATAGAGTTGGTCACTGAATAAGTCAATCACTTGCCTTCACTGGCATGGTGCAGTGGCATTTTGCTGTTCCTAGTACTCAGGAATAATGAGTCTTCCTGAGTACCAATAACAAAACAAATTTAGATGATAAGGTATGTGGAGATGTTCAGACACAGAAAAGATGGAAAATAGGGATTTCACTGCGGAGGTAATGAAACTTCAGTTTCTGTGTTCTATGAATCAGAATGCATTCTGCTATCATGTATAACTAATTAGAACAAATAAATAGATGTAATGTATTTAATTGTATTTAATGTAGATGGCCCCTTTTAAAAACCTTAATGTTTCACGTTTGTACTTGTAAAATTGGCAAAAAGGAAATGTAATTTTACCATTTACCTGGAATAAAAGCAGATGAATCATAATTTTCAATATTTTAAGGGTTCCTGAAAAAGAAGCTTAAAAGTTCAGTCTTCTGCCTGTGGTAAATCTGAATTTTAGAAATGTTGACTAACATTTATTGACAATGTTTTGTGTACCATACTCTGTTCTGAACTCTGTACATGAATTCTTTCATTTGATTCACCAGCTAGCCTAGGAAGTAGAAACTTTTTTATTACCTTCAATTTACATAGGAGGAAATAAACTAAAGAGAGGGCTATTAAGTCACAGTTAATGGCAAATGCAGTCTGAATCCAGAATCATTTCGGCACACACCAGCAACACTGGAAGTTGCTGTTTACAACAGAGCTTACTCAATTCAAGCAATTTAACACAAGTATCTCCTGAGTGCCTACTCTGTGCAGGTTATCCTTGTGAAAATCACGATAAAGAGATAATTCACAGCAAAGCACTTTGGAGCAATCTTTGTATTTTAAATGTAAAAGAATAACCAGTAAATGCATATTTCTAATTTATCAAATCTAAAAGGATAAAAAGAAAAATTTTACAGGAGAGCTAAATATTTTTCTCTTAGGTAAAAAAAAAATGTACGTGTGTATGTGTGTGTTGTGTGTGTGTATAAATTGAGGCATTTACATTTCCCCCACAAGTGTAATATTATAATGGGAGATAAATCATTATACTATGATAATTATAATGGGTGAAAAGTCATCAAGGCATCCTTGGAAACCCAATTCAGCCCTAGGCCATCATCATAAGATATAAGATATTTCCTGTCCAGAACATTCTATGCATGTCTTTATTCTTGCCACTACATACTGAAACTGTTTCTTACTTACCAGCCTTCCCAGTCCATAGGTCTGTCCAAACTAAGTTGTACTGATTATCTGCATACATCCTTCATCTTATATACCACCTGATATATAGGTTTTCCTGAAATCTCTGAATAACACCTGAGGGTGACAGAAATATACTTTTACCTCAAGTGCTGGGGATAGAATCTCATTCTTACATGCTAGACAAGTGTTCTATCACTGAGCTACATCCCCAGCCCAAAGATATGTATTTTTAATAATTGTAACTTTGATAAAATCTTAAGGTGAATAGATATTAACAGCAGTTTTTTCTTTGAGTCAGAATAGAAGTCTTTCAGAATTAGAATGCCAGAAGTCTGATTATTATGGATGTTTTCAAGTTCCACAATGGACATTCTACATACTGCTCTATATTTGCTCCCATATATTCTTCCCTTTTATCTTTCAAGTCATATCCAAGCACTGGCTCAAACTCTTATTATATCTTGACTATTTCAAGAACTAATGGACTAGGTATGTCTCACACTCTGTCTTTCCCCACTCGTATACATCTGGCATATGCATTCCAGAATAGTATTATGAATGAATTAAACTAATCTTATTCAGTAAAAACTTTCCATTGTTCTCCCTTGCCTACCATATAAAAACTCCACTCTTGGATTTCACTATTTGTCATCCAGATTCTGTATATGTATATGTATATATATATATTGTGTGTGTGCATGTGTGCATATATATATATAATTTTTATTTAAAAAAAATTTTTTTTCCTGTCCTATGCTAAGCCCAAATCACAGTAAGCAAAAGTGTCAACAGCTCCCACACAAACCCTGTACTTTTCTTGTTCTTGGCTCTTTCCTCTCTGAAACTGATTTTTTTCTTTTTTGTGGTGGGGTGGGGTGGGGAGGGGCACTGAACCCAGGAGTGCTATACCACTGAACTACATTCCCAGATTTATTTTGAGTCAGGTTCATACTAAGTTGCTTAGAGCTCTTTTTAAGTTGCTGTAGCCAGACTTGAACTTGTGATCCTCCTGCTTCAGCCTCTCAAGTTGTTGGAATTACAGGCATGTAGTACCACACCCGGCTCTACCACCACACTAATTTTCTTGATGCATTCAAAAGAGAATATATTTGTTGTAGCAACAGATGCATATTTTGTTTTCTATTACCTTGCATATTTTTTTTCCTACAGAGATGAGGATTTGGAATAATATAATGATCAATATAATAACAGGGTTTCCTAAAAAGTCCTTATCTTTAAATCTACTTTCAAACTTCATAAGCAATAATTAGTTTGCAATTATTAATAATTTAAAAGACAATAATTGGCCAATGATTTTTTGATATTATTCCAAAATGCAGTTAAATATTTAATCAAATACAATAAAAATCTTAAAAATAGTTGTAAAGAAAAATAAATAAAACTAGGAAAAAACCCAACATTAGTACAATTGGAGACAGTACAGAAAGGAATAAATTTTATTGATCAATGTAAGGATTAAAAATATTTAAAAAGAGAAGCAGTTCCAAAAAAAGGAAATGAAACTCAGAAAAAAATATACTCAAAGTTCTTCTCAGGAAGTGTTACAGAAATTCTGAATACTATTCTTAGATGATAGATAAAAGAAAAAGAAAAACCAAATATTCAAAATTCCAAATAATCTCAGCCCTTGATATTCAGGGCATCCAGAAGAAGAGACACACCCTAAATCATAGCTTAGGAATAGCTTCTCAAATATTCACTTTACCATGATTACATTCAGATGAGTGCTATCCAAGAGCTATGGTACACAAAAGTAAAGACAGGAGGGAATTTTCTCTCTCTTTCCTTCCCCACACCTTTGCCCTATAGTCTGGAAAAGCCTCAGTGGATCTACCCAGGCCCCTAGTAAAAGGATCCAGTGAACCAGCAAATTGCAGACAAATCAAGATAATGCAGATCTAGAACAAGACTTTGGTTCAGAATATTCACTGGTTATCTTTCTGGCATTAGGAAAATAAGGTGGCAGGTCTTCTTGTGATATTTCTCATCAGACCAGCTCTTCCAGTTCTACTGAGGACCCTGCTCCAGTCTAAGAGCCAACACTGCTATCAACACATATGCAAGAGCTCAACATTTCAATCTAATCCACAATTCATCTAGCACCAAAGAGCCCACAATGGAAACACTCTACACTGATTGCAGTTGCACACTGACCCCCCATGCCAGAATATCAAGTGTGGGTGCTATTCCTGAAGGAGGTTTCGAGAGATCAGCATCCTCATCACTTCATTGCTACCTGCAAGACAAGAGAATAAAGGAAGGATTTAGTAGCAAGCAGAGTAGTGGTGGACTTAAATTAGAATCATTTCTTTCCCTAGGAGGGATGAGGTTATCATTAATTTCTCTCCAAAATTCAAAGAAATGACAAAAAATGAGAAATAATATTTACTTTTCAAAATACCTCTTCTGATGATAAAAATGCTTGTATCAAATTTCAAAAGGTAGAATAAAAATAGTATTCTAATTTTTAAAAAGTACCTATGAAAGCATATGAAAAGTTCATAAAAAGATATACCAAAACACTAACTCTGGATGTAGAAATACAAGTGATCTTTTCCGTTTTCTTTTCACATATCTTATAAATTTTCAACAATAAACACACACTTCTTTAGTAATCAGAAAAAGGAGCTTTAAAAGGAAACATTTTCCCTGAAAGGAGGGGATCAATTGTTTGCTTCACTTTTAGCAGTGGCCTTTAATGCAAAGAGAAATAAAAATTCTCTTGAGTAATGAATATATACAATCTCAAAGTGAAATCTAAAATTTTGGATTTAGTCAATAATTCATGGCAAAAGTGATAAAGTAAACTGTGCTCTAATTTTTCTATAAGTAGATGACCTGATATAAATGTTACTTGTTTTTTCCCACTTAAAATAGCAGGATTAAAAGACAGAATGAAAGTAAATTTTTGCATACTCATAAAACTCTAGTGAATGTAATTTTAGAACTAGGGACTGTGTTCAGTAAGCATATGCTAGAGATAGGTGGGTAGTAAAAAGTGGCAGGCTAACCTTTAGAATCCTATAGTTTAGACATAACATCAGAGCAGTAGGGTTCAGTGTAGTTTCCTCAATAGGAACAGCAGCCACATTTGAAAACTTGTTAGAAATGTCAATTTTAGGCCCAAGCTAAACCCACTAGAGCAGACACTCTGGGGTTAGAGCCCAGCAACCTGTTTTTAAAAAGTCCTCCAGAGGATCTGGTGCCTGCTCAGGTTTGTGAAAGATGCTCTGAAAGAATCAAGGGTGCTAGTGCTCATAGGCTTCTCCTAGGTCATAATTAAAGCAACTCCCACACTGTTTTGCTGAAAGTCACTTATAGAGCCTCATCTACTTTTCCTACAGTATGACAGCCCCAGTTACCTAGCTGCAATAAGAGCCCTGTCACTTTAGGACTTATACAGCAGTTGTAGAGTGGAGAAAACCATGCTCTAAGCCTGACTCCACCAGCTTACATGTTCTCCAGAGAGAAAGTCTGTGGCTACCAAGAAGATACCCATATACTGACAATTTATTTTAATGAAAAATTCACTGCCAAATTTGATACACACATCTTTCAGAGATCATGTGACATTCAATTTGTAGAGTTGCTGGTGATCACACCGGTTCACATATGCTTGTAAATTATTGTACAGAGTTCTGGGATCCGTGAGGACCACATCCTTTATAATAGTAAAGAGGAGCCACTGATATAGTTTTCAATGGGATTTCTCATATGCTATCTCAGTTTGAACCTTCTCTCAAATCTACAAAGAAAAAAAGGGAAGCGGAGTGATCTGATGTCTTACCCATGGAGACAAAACATCTGCTGTCTCCCAGGCTAGTGCCCTTTCTAATGCACAAACAAGTCACTTCCAAAGCATGATTGAGGAAAGGAAGGAAGAAGAAATCCAAAAGACAAGGCCTGATGGGAACCTGAGAACTAGTCAGTATAAAGTCTAGAAAGCACTGATCCTATTACAATTCTGAAAGGAAGAGAATAACCTTCTGCAATTTTTACCTTCTAGGATTTGGTGAACCCTGGAGTCCCGCATATACTGCTGAACAGCATAATCCTTCAAGTAGCCGTAGCCTCCATGCATCTGTAAAGCTTGGTTGCAGATCTGCAGGGACCAGAACCAGCTGTCTTTGATTCCAGGAAGACTGAGGAATAGTTGGCTTCCCTACCCACCCTAGTCCCCAATATGGCAGCCTGCAGTAAACTCATAAAAGGAAGAACAACCCACAGCTAACCACCCATACCCAAAAAGGGGCTCTGTAGAGACAGAGACAACAAGGAAATCCACATATTGAATTTGTCAGTTCTCAACAATCAAAACTCGCAAAACTCTTTGACTTTTTCATTTATTTATCACGTGTGGGGAAGAAACTGCCCACAACATTCAACATTCCTGTGCCTAGTAAGTACTCCCTGTTCCATCCCAAGAGGGCCAGATGGCCTTTCACTTACTGCAAAGCATTCATCTGTTGCAAAGAACTTGGCCATGGAGCAGAGAGCCACTGCATCTTCCCGCTCCTCCTCCAGAGCAACTGCGGCAGTACGGACAAGCAGCCGCGAGGCAACCAGCCTTGTTGCCATATTTGCTAACTGGAATTGCAGAAACTATAGCAATAGCAAAGAAGAGAACCAGACAAGATAGAGGGGCTTAGATGGGCACCTGATCTGTGACTCTTGATAAGACATCTCTAATTAGGTGCCTTTTCTAAATAATTAGATGTTTCAAAGTCTCCTACCTCCTCTATGAAAACTTATTGTTTTACAAGGTCTGTGTCTACTTTTGCTTGCCCTGCATTTTGGTACTACTGTCTCCTAAACAGGATCCTTGGTAACAAAAATGCCAAGTTCTGGTTAAGATAGTTTCTGGCTCCATGAGGTAATCATGGCCTCCCTCTCCTACAGAATGTGGGCCCTAGAATGGTTCAAAAGAGTGGAAGGAAATGCAAAATCACCTGGGACCTTACCTGGCTATTGGCCAGAGGTGCTCCAAACTGCTTCCGGACTTTCAGGTGATCTCGAGTGAGGATGACTGAAGCATGAGCAGCCCCCAGAGAGCAGGAAGCTGGAGGAAGTAGTGAGAAAGTTCAAACTGAGCCTAAGTACAATGCTGCTGGCCCAGGTCTTCTCCCTGCTCCACATTTTCTTCTCCTTGCCTTCAGAAATACCAAGGTACCACAAGAAATCAAACATGCTCAGAAGTATGTAGGCAAGGCAAACTTTACTTCTGCCAGAAGGGCATGTTATCCAGCCTGGCTAGCAAGCATACCTGGGCTGGCAATCCACTTGCTTTTATCCCTAATGCAGTGCTCCCTCTTGCCCTCATAAGAAGAGCTTAGGGTCACGATCTACTTGATTGGCTAATTTTAAAATTGGGGTAGACAAAGGGAAGGGCTAGAGTTAAAATGGCTTTGATTGGATCATTCATCCCCAATAAGGCTAAATACTATATTCTGAAAATGGACCACCAAACTTTCTATTTCTCACTCTCACCAATGTTGATCCGTCCTCCGTTCAGTCCTTTCATGGCCATAAGGAAGCCCTGCCCCTCATTCCCAATTCTGTTGGCCACAGGGACAGCACAGTCTTCGAAAATCACGGCACGAGTTGGCTGGGAGTTCCATCCCACCTGGCAAAAATCAAGGACTAGGTGGCTGCCCAACAATCCACCACACAGGGTGGGCCTCCCTGTAGACAGAAGCCTGCGAAGCATGGGGTCCAGCACCCTGAGACTTAGACCATGAGAATGTAAAATGAGGAAAAAGAAAAAGTTCAGATTTAAAGGCCTGAAAACACTCAAAAAGATGCTTATTTCAGCAAAACATTTTTTTAACATATTAAAAAGAATCAACTTTTTAATGTCTACCCTACTACACTACCATATCCACAAACACTCTCATAACTTCTCGTAGGATCAGGACAGGATTTGTCCTCAGTTTTGGTGTCTCCATGAATATGCTCTTTTATAAAAACAGACTACGTTTATTTGGACAAGTTTATTTTACTTTTAAAGACCTTAATAACAGTCATATTTCTTTTAGAAGTTTAGTGTTCCTAAAAGATGCTAAAATTAGAGGGAAGAATACCATGCACTGTATTGGCAACCCCTGGTCTAGCATTTAGCTGCAGAGAAATCATGTAATGTCCTGGCATCAGCTCGTGAGAGCCTGGACTTTTTTCTTAACCTAGCATTCTGTGATATCACAGTGGTGGCTTAACACCAGTCACGATGAAGTATTTATATCACAGGAATCAGCAAAAACTACAAATATGAATTGCCTTTTGTTTTTCCCAGAGAGTTGGTTTACTAGGGTATCACTGGATATGTGAGTCATAAGCCCAGAGCAAATTTTGAATACTTGTCCATGTCATGCAACTACTAAGTTTCATTTTTCATCTTTTGGACAAATTACTTGATTTTTCCATGGAAAATATAGAAGTTGGACTAGAAAGTCAACAGAACCTCTTTCTTCAAACCAAATCTCATTCGGATATTTCACATATAAATAAGACCCTTGGGCTGTGGTTGTGGCTCAGAGGTAGAGCGCTTGCCTAGCATGTGTGAGGCACTGGGTTCAATCCTCAGCACCACATAAAAATAAAATGAAGATATTGTGTCTACCTAAAACTAAAGCAAATAAATATTAAAAATAAATAAATAAATAAATAAGGCCCTCACTACTCAATCTCCTTCATCTACTCAACTAGGTACTCCAAGACTTCAACTTTGAGGCTTAATGAGGCAGATTATGAAAAACATATGCCATATAAAATACCCAGGTTCCTTTCTGTCTCTGAAAACACCATTGCTTTTATCTCATTTCCTTATTTAAAAACATTCAGCTCTCTTTAGTTGATAAGATAAACATTTTACATTAGATTGTTGGTCATTTTCCTAAGCCTTATGAAGGTCTTCTAATATTTGGGGCTATCCTCTTCTTATCTCTACTTCAACAGCTGGCCTGTATCTGTGCTTTTGGGTTTTCATAATTCATCTCCTTCTACTGGGACTTCTCTTTATTCCCAACCACCATCAAAGCTTAGCTTAAAGGAAGGTTTCTGAGGCTTCCTAGTCACCCAAATCATCACTAAGCTTGCTTTCTTTAAGCTCCTTTGAAACCTTCTAATACTGACTGAAATGTACTTTATCTCCTTGAACAGAATAGAAATACCTAAAGGAAATAACCTAACAAAAAGGTTAATGGTAACCACCTATATAATCCTAGCTGCTTGGGCTGAGGCAAAAGGATTACAAATTTGCTGAGAAAAAACTTTTTAGTTTGAGTAAGTCCCATTTGTTGATTCTAGTTATTAACTTTTGTGCTATGGGTGTCCTATTGAGGAATTTGGAGCCCGACCCCACAGTATGTAGATCGTAGCCAACTTTTTCTTCTATCAGACGGCGTGTCTCTGATTTGATATCAAGCTCCTTGATCCATTTTGACACTTCTCAGAGGAGGACATACAATCAATCAACAAGTACATGAAAAAATGCTCACCATCTCTAGCAGTCAGAGAAATGCAAATCAAAACCACCCTAAGATACCATCTCACTCCAGTTAGATTGGCAGCCATTATGAAGTCAAACAACAACAAGTGCTGGAGAGGATGTGGGGAAAAGGGTACACTTGTACATTGCTGGTGGGACTGCAAATTGGTGCAGCCAATTTGGAAAGCAGTATGGAGATTTCTTGGAAAGCTGGGAATGGAGCCACCATTTGACCCAGCTATTCCCCTTCTCAGTCTATTCCCTAAAGACCTAAAAAGAGCATGCTACAGGGACACTGCTACATCGATGTTCATAGCAGCACAATTCACAATAGCTAGACTGTGGAACCAACCTAGATGCCCTTCAATGGATGAATGGATAAAAAAAATGTGGCATTTATACACAATGGAGTATTACTCTGCATTAAAAAATGACAAAATCATAGAATTTACAGGGAAATGGATGGCATTAGAGCAGATTATGCTAAGTGAAGCTAGCCAATCCCTAAAAAACAAATGCCAAATGTCTTCTTTGATATAAGGAGAGTAACTAAGAACAGAGTAGGGTCGAAGAGCATGAGAAGAAGATTAACATTAAACAGGGATGAGAGGTGGGAGGGAAAGGGAGTGAGAAGGGAAAATGCATGGAAATGGAAGGAGACCCTCAGAGATATACAAAAGTACATACAAGAGGAAGTGAGGGGAAGGGGAAAAATAATATAAGGGGGACAAACGAATGTCAGTAGAGGGAGCAGAGAGAGAAGAGGGGAGGGGAGGGGAGGGGAGGGGAGGGGGGATAGTAGAGGATAGGAAAGGCAGCAGAATACAACAGACACTAGTATGGCAATATGTAAATCAATGGATGTGTAACTGATGTGATTCTGCAATCTGTATATGGGGTAAAAATGGGAGCTCATAACCCACTTGAATCAAATTGTGAAATATGATATATCAAGAACTATGTAATGTTTTGAACAGCCAACAATAAAAAATTAAAAAAAAAAAAAAAAAAAGGATTACAAATTCAAGGTCAGTCTTGGCAACTGACCATGTCTCAAAATAAAAAAATAAAAAGGGCTGAGGATGTAGCTCAGTGATAAAACACCTCTGGGTTCAATTCCCAGTAACAGAGGAAAAAAAAAAGAATGTAACAGAAAGTTCTGACCTAAGAATATCTAATTACTAAAGAACCCATAAAATAGCTGCTACCTCTTAACTCCTTACAGTGAAAAGATCTACCTTCTTCTCCGATGCATACAGCAATCCTCTTCTAATCCTATCAGTCCCAGGAAAGTAGCAGCTAGTGAGGACAGATAATTCCACTCTACATTTTGGAGAACCCTGAATACGTGGACCATTAGTTACTACCACAGACCAATCCTGCTCAAACTTGACTCCTCTTGTGTATATTATCTTATTACCCTCTTACAAAAATTCTCTCATCCACTCCTCCACGATAAAACTACATAAGACCTTAAAATAATTAAGTCTAAGATAAAGCTAATCTTTATTGCTCTTTCATCAAATTAATGCAAAACTGGAAGTTCAAAACTATCAGCAATACAGTGTGTTAAATATGCTAAGTGAAATCATGTTTTTGTAGGAAAGATTAACAAGAAGCAAAGAAAGAGAAAGGCCTGTTGCTTAGGCCACCAAAACAGCTCAAAGAACAATGGGGAGCTGAATACCTTCTTATACTGGCCCACCATACTTTGATTACATCTCCAACTTCATCTGCATCATCCTTTTCATACTCACTGCACTCCGGCCTTACCAATTTTTTCTTTTTTGTTCCTTCAAGTAGGCTAATCTTATTCCTAACTCAAGCCCTTTGTATCTGCTATTGCCGCTGCCCAGAATTCTTCTCAGAGATGGTCCTTCTAATACATGAGATCTCATCTTTAATGTTATGGCCTCAAAGAGTCTGTCCCTGTGTAATAAAGCTCTTCCTCGGTTAGGGTGGGGTCACTCTGTTGTATTTCCTTCAAAATGTTTAGCACTAAATTAGGAAAGTACCTCATTTGTGTGATTGGTACTTACTTAAATGTAAATTTCACAGGGCAAAACATGTCTGTCTTGCTTACTGAGGTACTCCTCCTATTAGTTAGAAGAAGACACACAATGGGTACACACGAGTTGTCTAATGAAAGAAGTCCTTTTTAATTTCCTATTTATACTTAAAAATATATAATGCAAAACTAATTAAAAAAACGATAAAAAATATGTATGCTTAAAGGTGACCAGCACATAAATGAAGGGGTAATAAGATACACTCTTTGCTTATTGAACTTCTCTGTAAATTTTTTCAAAGTACTAAACTTGTTAGTTTGGTGTTCTGCCAACATACAGCACAAATATTGCATGGATACTACTAATCATCACTATCTTTATAAGCACAAATATCTGAATCAGTATAACTTGATTATGTAGAACTATATCAGACTATATAAAACAGACATTTCTAGGACTGAGAAATTCTACAGCTACATAACTTATATATCATATATATAATGTAAAGAGTTTATATAGAAATAGGTTTTATAATAGGTATCTAGCCAATGCCTGTTATGCTACAAAAGGCAGGGGGTTAATGCTCATAACTTTTGACAGTTATAAAGGGTCAAGAAAGGATCCTGCAGGAAAATATGGAAACCCTAGAAGAAGTGAGAGAGAAGTATATTCAGGGACCATTTCATTAACTAACATCTCCCCAAAAGTCCTAACAAAAATAGTACCAACTGGAGTTAGAGAAGCTGTTTTTGACAACCTAGGCTAAAAAATTTGAATAGATCTCACCTTTAGAGTTGTCTTATCACAAGACCTCTGTTCATCGCCTGGCTATGAAGTTTCTTAATCCTAGGAGTACCTTATTTTTCAAAGTACCTATGGAAACATTGTCCTTAGAATACCCAAAATCTCTTCAATGAGTTTCACTTTATTTAAATAAGAAAAGTGGCCCATATGCTTTTCATTTCTAAGATTTTTATTCAACATTAGATCCTCAACAAACAGCAGCAAAAGATAAGAGCTGGATAAGAAATATAAGCCAAAAGCACAGGCAGGAGAGGTGATGGGATGTTAATAGGCTAGCTTGTAACTAATTGACAAATGTCACTTTCCCCAGAAACTTAAATGTTTTTTTAAAAATGCCCTATTCTATTTTATATGCCCCTGTCAAAATTCTAATAGAAGCAACTGCTTCAAAGGCAAGTTACCAAGTAGGTGAATCTATTTCATAAAATAAGGCAGAGGTTCATCTGGCAGGTGATGGAGCCTCATAATTTGAATTGCTTCCTGTCCGATAACCACGCACCTTTTTCTCCTTCTTGCCAAAGCTGAGGCCAGGGGTCCCTTTCTCAACAACCATGCATGAGATGCCCTTTGGGCCTGATCCTCCAGTTCGGCACATGACTATGTAGATGTCAGATTCACCACCTCCACTGATGAAGGCCTGTGGGATTGGAGAAGGGGGAGAATTGGGATCAGGGGATACAAGAGTTCTGAATCTAACATCCGGGAAACAACGTGAGTCCTCCCAAAAATAGAACACACAGGTATGGCACAGAGACTGAGGAGGGATTTAGTTGAAAAGAATATGAAAAGGAGAAAGAAAAAGGAATGAAATCATCTGGAATTTGACAGGAAGCAGCAAACAGTGAAGGTGAAGAAAGAGAAATGTGTCAAAGTTTATCTATCCAACATGTAAAAATGCATGGGAACATTAACTCATAGACTCAGGAACTAGAGGATATCAGGAGCAAGTTGCTGTAGGAGGACAGCATGCTGGTACCTTGGAGCCATTGAGGATGTAATGATCTCCTTGTCGTTTAGCTGAAGTCAAGAGGGATGCAGCATCACTTCCACTTCCTAGGCAAGATCAAAAGGGGATGATAAAGTCTGTGAATTCAAGGGGCCCAGCATGGTTCCATATCCTGGTAAACCATCCTGAGAGAGAAACAGCTCAGCATGCACTACTTTAAAGTTCAGATGGCCAAAGGAATTTTCTGTTCTTGGTGAAAACTGCTTCCACCAAGCAGACTACTTCACCTCTCCCAACACTCTAGCTTGCAGTTAACCTTTTGCAAGAAGGTTCTGGTCTGCAGCAGGAGGGAATCTGACCTAAAGGCCACTAGGTCCTGTGACTTCAGGTTACAGGCTCTTATTATTCCATGGCCAAACTGCTTTGTAAACAGTGGTTATGTATGTCAATGGGAAAGGAATGTTCAGCGACTACATGAGTCGTATCACTCCCAGTTAGTTCTTGCTTGTGGGATGGCAAACTCACCTGGTTCAGTGAGGCAGTAGGAAGCAAATTTCTCCATGGTACAGAGCGGTGGGCAAAATCTGTGCCTCTGTTCATCACTTCCAAAGCTATCAATCATCCAGGCACACATGCTGAGTGATATATAAGAAAAGACATTGATGGAAATAAAGACAGAAAAGAAAAGGAAATGGAGTAGGGAGAACAAAGAGCAACGAAACAGAGTTAAGCAGAAGAAAGATGGGAAACGAAAAGTCATAACTGAGAAGAATCAAATTTAAAACTAAAGGACTAGATTTAAACATATTCTTGGAATATGTACTACTCAAAGATAACCAGGGACAAGATATTTCTCACCTGGATGTGGACACTACATCTAATTAAGTTAAATAAGCCTCTAAAAATCAATCCCATGTACTTCCTATAAAATAATACAGATGAAACTTCAAATTCCTGGAAGTTTCATCTGTAGATTGAAGAAAAGGGTGATAGGACTTGACCACTCTACTGGAGAAGTCTGCTGGTACCAACTTAAACTAGGATTGGAGGTGGCTGGAAGACCTGATACTCTGAGCAATGAAAAAGATAACAGAATCAAGTCCAACAGGAAGTAACAGACCTAGTGTGAACTATTAACAATCTAGTTCCTTAAGAGCAATCCACCTACATGATCAATCTTTTCCTTATAAACTTGAAATTCCCCAGTCAATTCACATGAATACCTCACTTTGCTTTCCCAGATTGGGCACTCACTTGTGGATGCTTATGTAGGCTGTGGTGCTGGTGCAGCCTGTAGCCAAGGCTTCAAAGATGACAGAGGTATCAAGCCTTGACAGTCCAGACCCACCGACGTCTGTGCGGACATAGACCCCCCCAAAGCCTAGCTGGGCTGCCTTCCGCATCACACCCACAGGGAACACCTCCTACATACAGAAAAAGAGAGCAGGGTCATCAGTAACTGATTCAGAGATGGACTCTCCTTTAGAGGGTATTATGATGAGGTGATCAGGATGTTTGCATTTGGGAGAGTATAGGGCTTCTTTTAATATGTGTCTGTCATCCTACAATAGTATAGGTTAATGTGTGTCCTCTAAGAATTGTTTTCTTAGGATTAACAAGTTTTCCTTTTTAATTATCTATAGAACTGCCTTAGTTTTAAGTATTTGTTCAATAAGAAAGGAAAAAAGGTATCTACAAAATGATCAGATACCGTCTGTGAAAGAAATCACCTATTACCAATCCTCTTACTTGCACTAAAAGCTGGTAACAGACACTGAGCATTTAGGATTATAAGGAGCTGAAGTTAAAGGTTGCTAATGTGGCACATGTTGAAACATCTAGTCATAAGGAAAACTCCTACCTTCTGGTCCCACTCTGCCATATTTGGAGCCATCTCCCGGGCAGCAAAGTCAAAGGCCACTTTCTGAAATTCTTTCTGTTCCTCATTTAGTCCCATGGAAGCTGTGGGCAGAATTGCACATATTCAATTCTAGGACAGGAGTCAGAGAATAGAATCAACAATAAGAAGCACTATGAGGCCGAAAACAGTAAACTTTTTGTAGCAATTTCCATACAGAGCAGAGCCTTCAACAGCAAGATAATCATATCATTCATCACTAATCCGTTTCCCTGTTGACTCAGATCAACCTAAGACAGTATATAATAGCTTTCCAGACATCTTTTACCTTAGTCACTCAGTTAAATACATTTGCAGACCTAAAAGAGCTGGAAGCCACAGTGAAAGAAATAGGATAGAAATAGGATGCAAACAATGTCAGAGTGGGAAAAAATTATGAATAAAGACACTGACTGAGCACACATCACCATTTTCTTCCTCCTTTACTCCAAATGGATCGGCTGACTTTATTTACCTACTACCTACCTACCTGTAAAAAATCTTCTTTATTTCTTCCTCATAAATCCACTGAAAGAAATGAAGAACTGGGTGCAGTGGCACACAACTGAAATCCCAGTGGACTTGGGAAGCTAAGGCAGGAGTATTGCAAATTCCAGGCCAGACTCAATAAGTTTGAGGCCAACTTGGTCAACTTAGTAAGACCATCTCAAAATAGAAATTAAAAAGAGCTAGGGATGTAGCTCAGTGGTAAAGTAACCCTGAGTTCAATTCCCAGAACTTTACACCACTGCCCCCCACCCCCCACCCCCAGAAATAAAATAAAAGGAAAAAAATAAGGGTTTGGGGGTGTAGCCCAGTGGTAGAGTACTTGCCTAGCATGCATGAGACCCCAGATTTGATCCCCAGCATGCTGGGGGGTGGGGGAGGGAATGGTGTACACTTAAAAAAAAATTGGGGCTGGTGTTGTGGCTCAGTGGTAAAGCACTTGCCTAGCATGTCTGAGGCACTGAGTTCGATTCTCAGAACTGCATAAAAGTAAATAAAATTCCATTAACAACTAAAAAATAGTTTTAAAATGTTTATTGAGCATCTACTATCTAACAGTTTCAGTGTTACAAAAAGAAATATGGTTCATGGTTCAGTCACAAAATGGATAACATAATTAATGATAATGGAAACATTGTATAAAAAGAAGTACTACAGAATTTTAATTCTAGGCCAGGCACAACAGCACACAATGTAACCCCAGCAACTAAGGAGGCTGAAATAGGAGGATTGCAAGTTAGATGCCAGCCCTGGCAACTTAGACTGTTTCAAAACAAAACAATAAAGGGCTGAGGATATAGCGCAGTGGTTAAAGTGCCTCTGAGTTCAATCCCCAGTACAATAAGAAAAAAGAATTTTAATCTTAGCAAGAGTTCAATAAATATTAAGAAAACTTCATCTTCTTCTTTGACAGAGTAAATGGTTACTTCCTAAGATAAATAGTTCAAGCAACCAAAGGTTAAAGAAATAGATTTGAATTGTTTTCTAAGTAAACAATAGGGAAGAGTTTTAAATCATGTACGTAAGTAAACACGATACAATAACACATTCTTTTTAGATAAACAACAAATAGTCAATTTTAGAAAAGGAAATGATCAATAAAAAGAGAGCACAACTTCGAGAAAAAAAAAAGAGAAAATCAAGTTAAAAATTAAATAACATGGGTTGGAGTTGTGGCTCAGTGGTAGAGTGCTTGCCTCGAATATGTGAGACACTGGGTTCGATTCTCAGCACCGCATATAAATAAAAAATAAAGGTCCATTGACAAGACAAGTAAAATGAATAAATAAAATTTTTTTAAAAAATTAAATTACATACAGGAAAATATAGTGACGAAGTAAAAACAGATATATATGTGTGATATATATATATATATATATATATATATATATATATATATATATTATATATCTCCAGAAAAAAATACACTATAAAAACAAACAAAAGTCCTCATGAACTTTGCGAGAGTTACTGGGTAGAGTTTAAGGTATCAGCGCACGCAATGCACACATACACATAAATGGTAAAGCTACACAGAAAAACAGACCAAATGAGATAAGGAAAGGCTTTATAGTATAGCAACTCAGGGTAAGCAAAAGGTAAAACCCCCACAAATTTTTAAATAATGACAGGAATCTATAGTAGTTACCCTACTATAAAATGAGTGATTGAATTAGACATTAAGCAAATTTCCTCACCTAAGATATGAAGAAATAATATTCAATAACTAAATAAACTTTACTTTTAACATTAAAATATGCAATAAACAATCAGATATATGTATTAACATTAAAATATGCAATAAAATAATCAAATGCAGTTAGCTGCATTTTAAAATTTATTTTTATTTTAATTTTTTGTGCAGTGCTGGGAAGCCAACTCACTCAGGGCCTTGAGTAGCTAGGCAACCACTCTACTACTGGTCTATATCCCTAGGCTGTTAATTAGCTTGATGTACAAATATACAACTAGATGATTTCACTTGACTAATTTAAAGATAATAATTTCTTTTAAAAAGGTGAAAAAGGCCTGGGGATGTAAATCAGTGGTAGAATGCTTGCATAGAAAGAGAGAGTACCTTGAGTTTGATCTCCAGTATCCTCCCCCCAAACACACACACAAAGTGAAAGAGTACCTTTAATGGCTGAAGTTTGCTGCTGGAAATACTCATATTTAGCTTATTGTTGTAAGACTAATTTCTTATTTGCTTTGTTATCAACCAGGGTGACCTTGTTTACCAAATTTAAGTGCTAGAAAAGGGCAGCACCTCTTGAAGGAGTTTTAAGACTTAAAAAGAGAACAGTATTTTATATGTTGTGTACCTTAGTGACAAATTTGTAGCTCTTTTGTCAATTAAGGAATTCGTTTGATAAAGAAACTTATCACTTATTTAAATTAGTAAATTATTTATTTTATTTATTTATTTTTTGAGAGAGAGAAAGAGAGAGAGAGAGAGAGAGAGAGAGAGAGAGAGAGAGAGAATTTTTTAATATTTATTTTTTTTAGTTTTTGGCGGAGACAACATCCCTTTTTTGTATGTGGGGCTGAGGATCGAACCCGGGCAGCACGCATGCCAGGCGAGCGCGCTACCGCCTGGGCCACATCCCAGCCCAAGTAAATTATTTAAAGAGTTTAAAGAGAACCAAAAAAAAAAAAAAAAAAGGTTAGATTGACAGAGAAGTGTCATAAATTGGTTGGGTATCCCTTACTTGACAGAGAAGTTACAATTGGGTATCACTTACTTGGGTGGCAATCATTCATCATATTTGGTTTATTCACCTGGTGCCTGAAGACATTCAAGATCTGTAATCCCTGTTAGAGATTACCAATTGCAATAACAGTCATTGTTCCTGTTTCAACAGCACGTGTTTTATTGCTACAGGTATTAAGTTTTGAAATCTACACAGGATGTATTACCTGGAGCTTTTATTTATCCATCGTGACAAGTACCCAGCTCTACATTCCCACTGCCTTTAGAACCTCTCAATGGTGATTTTGATGAAACAAACAAAAAAGCCACAAGTTCCTTTACTTCTCTAAGCACACAGAGTGACCTACAAAGTCGGGAGACAGGATGTAGACAGTGTGGGGGGCTGGTCCCAAAAAGACAGGAGGGAGCGGAGAGTGGTCTCTTTGGTCCTGGAATTATGGGACGCAGCAGAGACCTGATCAAGGTGAGGAAAGGGAATGGGAACCCGGCTGAGGGTGACCTGACAGGGTCCGGGGTCACGGGACAGGGCGGGAATGGATCTGGGCGTAACACAACTGAGGACGAGACAGGAGCTCAAGGGACCGAGTTGAGGTGGCGAGGTGGAGCTGGGAGTGGGTCCGGGAGTGACAGGACAAAGCGGGGAGCAGGTCCCGGGATAACAGACCTTGCGGAGGGCAGGTCCGAGAGTCACAGGATGGATTGGCGAGCCGGGGGCGGGCCCAGGAATTACAAGACGAATCGGGGAGCGAGTTCTGGGGGACTAAATAGTCCGCTAAGCGGGTCCTTGAGCGACGGGACGGAGCGGGGAGAAGGTGCAAGAGTCATAGAACAAAGCGGGGAGCGCGTCTGGGTCACGGGACCGAGCGGGGAGCGGCCCGGAGTGGGGAGACTGCCGATACTCGCCCGGGTTCCAGACGCCGTGTCCAGCTCCCCCCTCGCCCAAGGCGAGCCTTACGATCGATGCAGGAGGTCAAGCTCCGGTAGCCGCTGCTGGGGACCGGGAGACTACAACGCAACCGCCCGAGGAGCACCCCGAGGTTCCGGTATCCGCACCACATCGCCACTGCTCTTTCCTTAGCCAGAGCCAGTGAGCCCTGGAGCTCCACGACGTTCTTTTCAGTAAGGATCTGCGGCAGGCGGCCTCTGCCCCCACTGCACCCTGGGAGTTGTAGTCCCTCAGAAGCCTTCGCAGCCGAGGTGTCAAGCAGAAAGACACGGAAACTGAACTACAACTCCCAGAGATGCTTGGGGCTTCGGCGCAACGTTGGCGTGTCCGCCACAAAGCCCCTGGGATGCCCTGTGGGTCTGGGGCACCTAGCGGTCCATTTTGCGGAGCTTGGGGTTGGTGTTTTGAAAGAATGGTTACGGGGATAAGGCAGGGCTCAAGGGAATACTTGGGAAGAGTTTAACGGCAGGCTATTCGAGATGGAAATGGCACAGTTAACGGAGGGAAGGATTTGAAACCCTTAAACACAATTATCTGCTCTTAGCAAAGTTGGAGACTCTTTGGACTTCCTCGCGTCGTCTCCATCTTGCTCTGCGCGGGTTTTGAAGGGCAGTGGAGTTCCTTTTTGAATCTCCCTTTTGATTTCAGAACCCTCTTCATTTCAGCCACCTGCAGAGAGAGACCATGCCGAGACCCCGGAAGAGACCAGCCGGGGCTGCTGGCCCAGGTGAGCTGCACTGAGCCTGCAAAGAGGCGACCCCCAAAAGAGTGTTTCTCTGGGGCCAGCTTAATACTGTTCATATTCTTTCCTGCTTGTGGAGAGAAGCCTTTGAGACTTGCCTGTTATTCCATCATCCCTTATCACCTTTCATCTTCTTTATTCTTCCCACCAAGGTTCTACCCAACGCCCCTTCAGCTTGCTTGTTCATCCAGTTAACTAAGGATATTTGGGTTATGGGTGGCATGCGCTGGGGTAAAGAATATAATTCTTTTGCGACAACATGGATGGAACTGGATATCATTAAGTAAACGAAAACAAAAGTATGATATGTGGAATCTCAAAAAGCTTTTCTCACAGAAGTTGAGAGTAGAACAGTGCTTACCAGAAACGGGAAAGTTGGGGAGAGGTTGATCAGTGGGTTCTAATTTAAACATCTAGGGTGACTATAGATAACGATAATATACTGTACATTCAAAAAGTGGGAATAAATGATTTTGAACGTTTTGACCAAAAAGAAATGATAAATGTTTGAGGAGACATATGTTTAACCCAATTTAAATATTACATGTATACGTGTATCAAAACATTACATGGAACACCATTGATGTGCACATGTTTTATGCCTCAGTTAAAATTTTTAATTTTAAAATTTAAAGATTTTTAAGGGTAAACGCAAACAGGTGTAAGTGAAAGGGCCTGGAAGACTGAATTATTGGAGGTATGAGAAGAGCCAGGAATACTAGGGAAAGCCTTGGGAAGGAAGTGGAATTTGAGTCCAGCCTTAAAGAACAGGAAGGCTTTCTACAGGCAAAGTTTTAGTACCCAGAAAATGTGATGTCACTTCTGTATTCACAGAGATGAATGGCATGCTAAGTGGATGAAAGGCAGAAATAAAGCAGTGGAAGTGACTCTTAGGAATGGCAAGAGTTCCAGATTGACTAAAATACATAGTTATTTAATAACACATGGTGTTTGCAGTGTGCTTGTTAACTCTTAAGGACTGCTGAGAAGTTGGGCAAGGAAGGTATGCTGAGTCCAGAGATTTAGACATCCATAAATGATTAATCTTTTAACCTCACATGTTGAAACTTTTACTAAACTTGGAGACAGTACAGTACAGTCAGTCATTAAGCATAGATTCAGACAGACCAGAGTGGTAGGCCCTGACCTCGTATCTTGGTTCTGTCATAACTGAATTGTGATCTGGAGCACATTTTCCAATTGAAGAATAGAATATCTCACACATTATGTATCTTAACTGAGTTAGGGTTAGAGTAACATGTATAGCTTGGGGCCTTGGATAGAGATTTTGGGGTGGGTGGGTACCGGGATTGAACTAAGGGGTACTCAGCCACTGAGCCACATCCCCAACCTCTATTTTCTATTTTATCTAGAGATAGGGTATCACTGAGTTGCTTAGTGCCTCACTTTTTGGTGAGACTGGCTTTGAACCTGCAGTCCTCTTGTCTCAGCCTCCAGAGCCTCTAGGATTACAGGTGTGCGCCACCAAGTCTAGCTAGGGGTCTCGGATATAGTATGAACTTAACAACTATTAGTTTTGAGGACTCACTGTATCCCAGGCACATTTTCTCTAATTCTCTTAGGACAAAATCCAGTCTTTACGGATGTCTTTAAGGACCCACATGAATCATTTTTTTTCCAGTTTTTCTTGGCATCTTGAAGAGCAAAAATAAAGTACAGTGAGCAAGAGGGAAGGATGGATGAAATGATGACAATAATGGATATTTATTGAGCATTTATTACAATGCCAGGAATTTTCTAAGCTTTTTGGCTGTTTCCTCACTGGAAAGAATAGCCAAAGTAAAGGCACAGAAGAGACAGAGAGGGAAGGAAACATTTATTGACTGCTACTAGGACCCATTAGTCTTAATCCTCTAAGGTGTTTTTTTCTCACTGAATCATAATCCAGAATATATCCTGAAAGACATGCATTCTTGTCCAGTTTTTATAGATAAACTGAAGTTTTTTTCTTTATAACAGTAGAGGCTACAGCTAGTTTTTGCAGGATCCAGGATTTGAATCCAGGTGTGAGACCAAAGGGTAAACTGCACAATAGAACATTACCACTCAGCAAGCATTGATAGTTCTTTGCTTTTTGTTTCTCCTGTAGAAAAGAACGGGCAATCAGAAAAACATACCAAATTTGAGAACTCAGGTGAGGCATCAGCAAAAGTGGAGAACTCCAGCCCTCAGAAGACTTCAGTCTTTAAAAACTGTGGGAGGAATCTAAGCAACTACTGGCTGATGAAATCAGAGCCAGAGAGCCGACTAGACAAAGGTGTAGATGTGAAGGTGAGATTGTGTACCTTTGTCCTATCTCATTATGCGGTTTTAAAAATGAAAGGTTAATATGGGATACCATTGGGTTCCATCACCAGCATCTCATCTTCAAAGAGTAAGAAAGGCAAAATATGAATAAAATCAACAGAATTTATTACCATCAAGTACAGATTGAGTATCCCTTATCTGAAATGCTTCAAATCAGAGGTGTTTCTGATTTTGGAGTTTTTGGATTGTGGAATATTTGTTTAGACTTTACAGATTGAACATCCCTAATCCAAAACATAATCTAAAATCCAAAATGCTCCAAAGTCCAAAACATTCAGATTTTTTAATTAGGCATGTTCAGCTTATTTCTGTTTAATTGTTCGATGAATCCTCTACGTAGTCAAGGGCTAGCAGACTTTCTGCAAAGGGCCAGACAATAAATACTGTAGACTACTGTATCTTATATTCTTTCATTTCTGCCCTTGTAGCAAGTAAGTGCTAATAGCACATAAACAGATTTGGTTCCTATAATACTTTATTTATAAAAGGAGGTATGGGACTAGATTTGGCCTAAAGGTTGTAATTTGCCAATCTTAATCTTAGCTTGCTTTACTCTTACCACTTGCCATGCTCCTAGGTGTCTCCCTGCCAGCAGTTGGTATATATTCAAGGAATGAATATAAACCCATTTTGATAGCCTGGAGAAAATGTAAATAGAAATATTATAGAAGAAATACATAATACTTTAATAAGTAAAATGTAGAGAACCAACAGATTACTTTAGCATCTGGATTATGCATTCAGCTGGTCCTTTTAATTAGAAGAGATAACAGTATAACACAAGGCTTACCTATATTCACTCATCATCAGTGGCTCTGTGATGAACTTACATATTTCCATTATAGCCTGTAGTACCTCTCAATGTTGGGAAGGGACTGTCTACTTCCAAATATGCCTATTAACTGGCCAAGGATTGTTTAGTGAATGCTTATTTTCTCTTACCTAGTTTAGCATTGAGGATCTCAAAGCACAGCCCTTGCAGACAGCATGCTGGGATGGTGTTCGTAACTACCAGGTAAGAGGACAGATAAAAGGCAGGAATCCTGAGACTTAGGGCAGGATAAATGCCTGCCTGGTTCTTGTGACTTGTTCAGCTACAGAACCTTTTGGCCAAAGTTGCTTTTCCCAGAATACTTAAATCCTTACCTGAAAGTGTTTTCAGAAATACGTGAATTACTCTGACTTTATGAAATCTACAAATGGCCTGGTTCTAACCAGTGTCCTGGTATAAATCTGGGAGTCTCGGCAAAGGGGACAGACTTATGAATTGGGGGGAAATTAAAAACAGAAAGCCCACCTAATGAAAGTAGACTTAATTTCTGTTTAAAGCTAGCACTTCCCACTGGTGGGAAGGGTAATCCTTATTTCTTCTCTCCTGGGACAGGCACGAAACTTCCTTAGAGCTATGAAGCTGGAGGAAGAAGCCTTCTTCTACCATAGCAACTGCAAAGAACCAGGCATTGTAGGACTTATGAAGGTTAGATGGACAGGTTTTAGTCTAAATTTCTCTCCCTACAGAGTGTCTTATTCATGTATATTTAAAGTGATATACCATAAATTGGTAATATTAAAGACCATAGTCAGAAGAACAGAGAGAAAACTGCTGTGGCCCCTTTCTATATGATAAGGACTAGAAAAAGGTAGGCCTTCATTTAAGGCTCATTAGCATGCATTTTTCTCCATCTCTAATCCTTGGTTTCTCACTCAGAAACAAGCCTGATAGCTCTTTCAGGATAAAAGAGCTACCAGGATAAAATCATTGACTCTGCATTTGGTGGGGTGGGTGGAAATACCAATGATAACCATTACCATTGAGTTTTAGAATATGCTTCTAAACTTTTATATTTAAAAAATAGTTGATTTCCTAACTGTACTTCCTTAGGCTATGTATTATTTCTAGATATTTGAATCCTGATTGATGAGAGCAAGGCAGATGGAGTAAGAATATGTAGGGTAAGAAGTCAAAGTTAGATATGTATTAAAGATTGGCCATGGAGCTGACCAGGCAGACAAATAATTGGAGACTTTGGGTTTGGTTTCAGATTGTAAAGGAGGCTTACCCAGACCACACACAGTTTGAGAAAAACAGTCCCCATTATGACCCATCCAGCAAAGAGGACAACCCCAAATGGTCCATGGTAAAGACAATTCTTCCTGTTTCATGAGAAGGGAATGATGGACAAAGGAAGGAGGAAGGTGTGTGGTGCTATTAGGTCAAGCTCTTATTCAGATGAGATTACACTGACTTTTGGAGGTTAGAGCAGAACATTAGCAGTGCTGCCAATGGGAGCCTCCCGCAAGCAGTAAAAACAGTGGGTGGGCATAATGGCATGGCTGTGACTATATGCTCTGCTGATGGAGAAACTGAGACAGGAGGATTGCTTGAGTCTAGGATTTCAACCTGGGCAATGTAGTGAAACCCATCTCTTAAAAAAAAAAAAAAATGCAGTGGGCAGAGTTTGGATAACCATAACTTTCTGTTCAATAAACTGTTGTCACCTAGGTGGATGTACAGTTTGTTCGAATGATGAAGCGTTTCATCTCCCTGGCTGAGCTTAAAACCTGTCACCAATCTCACAAGGCTACTGGTGGCCCCTTAAAAGATATGGCTCTCTTCACTCGCCAGAGGCTCTCAGTCCAGCCCCTGACCCAAGGTAAGAGTGGGCCCTTTCCCTTACCCACATAGCAGAAATGACCTCACAAATTCACATTTACTAACTGATTAAACTTGGGCACAGTATTAAACCTCTAAGTCACTGCCCTCACCTGTGGCACCAAGGGAGGGACTATGTCCTGAGTTACCCATAACTATGTATCTAGTATCCAACAGTGCTTGGCATTGGTAAGAAACTCCATAGTTTTTGAATGCCTATTTTGGCAACATGTAAATTACCTATCAGTGATGGGTATTAACTTCCCTGTTCAAGAGGGAAGGGACATGAAACCTAATTCTTCCTTTTTGTTCTTTTTGGTAGAAGAGTTTGATTTTATTTTGAGCCTGGAGGAAAAGGAACCAAGTTAACTGAAACAGTATTGCTGGAATGGACAAACCATTACTCTAAAGATGGCGAGGTTTTATTAGACAAAGGATGGTGTGTGAAGGCTTATGTGTGCATTTACCTGAGATCATGTACACAGATTTTTTTTTCCCTACTTCTTTCAATAAAACATTTAATGTCAAATTTGGAAAGCTTTTCTTCTAAAACTTTAGTGGGTATAGTGGAATACACCACTGCAAAAGATCTCTTATCTCCCTTTGTCACTTGGAAGACTTAAGGCACCTCTACCATCTGCCTTTATTGTTGTTCACAGTTATATAGCAGATAGCAGGATTTAGGGCTGAGTCCTTTGGTCAGTTACACCCTCCAAAACATGTGGGGTTTCACAATACCAACCTTCTTCGCCTGCCTCTTTTAAGTGCTCTGGGTCCTACAGCAGTTCTTAACCAAGAACTTATTCTAAAGTAGGTGGTTAGTAAAGTGCTCAGCATTGCTCACTAGGGGCTCTATTCTGAGAAGATGCTGTATTGGAATTAGGGTGGGCATCTACCTTTCCTGAAGATAGGAGTTGGGCAGTGTAAGACAGAAAAGACCACAGAACCTGGTGGACCTTGGGCACAATGCCTCCAAAGCCACAGGGGCTTCCTTTAATTAGACCATTAAAACAAGTGTTCTTTTAAAATACAGCCATTGAAAAGACAACACATTAAGAAACATGTAAACACTGCAGCTTCTTAATTACAAGTTGCACTGCTTGGTTTAGTACCTATGCACTCCCAGGTCTGGGGACCTTAAAGGAGGGGGACAGGAGACCCCTCACTTTCACAAATGGCAGAGAATAGAGAATGGGGGAAAAAACAGAGAAAATAAGACCTGGCTTGTGCACAGCTCCTGAGAGAAAGCAAATTCTATCTTCTAATTCTCCCAGAAGGAAGGTTGAAGATGTTAGGAAAAGTTGGGAAATGAATTTGTGTCATCAGTTGGGAGGCAGAGGAATTGACAAATGCTTTTTAATTAGAATACCAGCTATTAAAGGGAGGCACACCAGAGCCCAATCTCATAATCTGAAAAAGGCAAGAGCACAGAATCTGCCTCTCTGCTTAAGCCTCAGCCTTGACAATCCAAGGGCAGCTGGATGGGAATGCTGTTCCCATGGGGATTGTATGTCGCACCTGAACTCAGGGTCTGGCATGGGGGAAACAAATTTGCCTTCTTTGATTCTGCTGCCACCTGTCAACCACATGTCACCCCAAATGTCTTCCCCTCATCTCAACTCTGATCCATGGGCCCTGCCCAGTCAAGGCCTAAGATTGCACATATTTCTGAAAAAACAAGGATTCCCCTTTTTCTGCACTAACTGAAACATGAGATAGGAACGAAATTCTCTACTGTCCAAATAACCAAGAACTCAGACCACCAAATATTGGCCAATGGGGTCTGGTTGGTCTTTCTGTAAAGGGAAGGGAAGCCAACAGAAGAGTAATTCCTAGTCATCCCCAGTGAGGCAGAAAAGACTATTTTAACTACTATAGGCCCAAGAACAGAGCAACAGGAAAATCTGCCCCTTTCTTTAGCATAACTACATCCACCAGAGTTTTTATATTTGTGTTTTTAAACAAACAAACAAAAAATACCAATGATCCTAAACTTAGGTCAGTGAATTGGTGATGACATAGATGTAACTTGGCAAGCAAATTACTGAAGTTTGTGGCATCAGAGTCTGCTATTGGGGCCCTCATCTCCCTTATCTTGTAGGTGATGAGGAGTGAAGGATCTTGGGGTGAAAGTAAGAACAAAATTTCAAAATGTTTGAAATCAAGCCCCAATTCTTAGAAGTTGGATAGAGACAAGGAGTGATGAGGGTCCACTGTTAGAGAGCAAAAAGGATCCTGGCCCCTTTCCAGGATATCTTCTTAAAGGAAATGGACTCTCTTGCTTAGGGCTTGTTAGGGCACATAGAATAATGTGCCTAGAACAACCCAGACCTCAGGGTTGCCAAGCCAGTTACATGGTGAAAGCAGACAGTTGCCATTGCCTTAACCCTTCCTCAGTAGGCCTGGCTCAGCCTCTTGGCATCCATGCATGACATTAACCTCTGAGCTTTTTTGCGCACAGGTATTTCTCACTGGTGAGGGACAGATGACCCCAGGCACTTCCACAGGTTTCTGTCCCAGAACATTCCTACTAGCCAGAGAAGATGCAGAAAGGAGGTGTCTGGTGCCAGCAGTGAAAGGCCAGAGAGAAGGTGGCATGTGGAAACCTCAGAGCACCACATTCAAGACGCCCAAAAAGGTAGCTTCCTGATCTACCCCCAACCCTGCCCTTTAGATGGGACAGGCCCAAATCCTTCTCCCACTACCTCAGGGACAGTCAAGGGGAGAATAAGAAAAATGACTACCGAGGGCCCTGCTGGCAGCTTTGAATTCCAGGGACATGTTCAGATCCTGTATCAGGAAGCCCAGAGAACTAGAAGCCAAGGACACACTTTCGGCTCTATGATAAGAGGCAGCCCATGAGGAAAGCCTCAGCAGACAACTTATTCCCCAGGGAGAGATTAGCTTCCAGGATGCTCCTCTCCCTATCCCACATCAGCCACAGAATCCCAAGGAGACTGCTTTCTAACCCAAGCCCCTTAGGTCCTTCAGAGAAAAGAATTTAAGTCAAAAACATGAATTGTTTTCAGGTTGCAAGTAACGGTCAGCTGAGCCTCATACCATCTCCCCCTCCCCCAGCCGCTGGTGTTTGGTAGATGGGGGTGCTGGGGTGGAAGCCCAGCAGCTTCTTGGCCCAGAGGCCTACTGCCTACTGTTGTTGTCAGACAGCTGGCTGGGGGTCCGCACCTCACCCAGGGAGGTTGTGCCCTCGAAGCGCTGTGAAGCGATGGCTGCCTGGTGGGACATGCTCTTCCGTACGATGTCACCCTTCCGCCACAACACCACTTCCTGCAGAATTGGGAGAGGGAACAACTTGATACCTAAGAGGAAGGCTCAGAGATGGGTTTCCCAGAAGCACCCACATTTGTCTTGGGGAATCTTGGGCAAGAACCTCCCCTGGTTCTCTCTCAACAAAGCAGTGGTTGTCAGTACCTCCCATCCCTGGTATAGGTCAGAATAGTGTGGCAGTTGCAGGAGTCAGGCCTAAGAAAACATACTCTGGGTATCAAGTAGGAACCGTCATTCCTGCTGTGTTATTCTGGGTAACTTAATATTTCCAGCTCTTGGAAAAATAACAAGTAGCATAGAGACTTAGCAGCTCTCTTACCATTTTGCTTAGTGTAAAATACAGATTCCTCCATGGAAATGATATCCTTTCTGTTCTGTCCCCAGGGTATCCAGGGCCCTGGTGGAAGCACCTCACCTGCTGCTTGAAGTAGCGCCGTTCCTCCTCATCTATCAGCACCAGGTTGAGGTAATAGCGCACAGAGAACTTCTTGTTAATGTCCCGCATAGTGGGTGTAAGCTCATACCCTGCCAGGAAAAGCCGGATTGGGATGGACTCTCCTGTAAAGGAGCAAAGTGAGGAATGAGGGCAAGGGACAAAGTGAACTACTCTGCCTTACATCAAATCCCTCTCTGACCACAGTAGATGAGATGCCAGCTGAGCATGGCATGAACCCTAAGCAAATGCTTCTGCCTTTTGAGACTGCATTCTGATGCCCAGTAGTTTGCTGAAGCAAAAATGTGACTCCAGTTTCATTTCAGTATTGCTGTGTCTTCTTAATATCCTCTCACCATTCTGATGCAGAAAACAGGGAGGAACAGTTGAATATGAAAGGCACAGGGATGTTATTGTTAAGCATATTTTGATTACAAGCAAAGTGCCTAGTTACTGGGTTTTCAAGAGGCAGTTGTCAAACCCCAGTTGCTATAAGATGTCATTCAGCAATTATAATGCCATCTCCCTCCATCTTGGTTACTATATGCCCTCAGAATATATCTCCACTCTAATGTGAATTGACAGCAGGTGGGGGTGGTCTGGAAAACAGGAAATTCTCATTCTAGACCCTGTTTTCCATTAACCAGTTGTATGACTTCTGAGTAAACCTGTGGCTTTCTCTTGATTTTCTCACATGAAAACTGAGAAAATCCAACTGCACAATATTTTAAATCCCTTCTAGCACTGATATTGTACCTTTCCTAGATAAAGAGAAACAAAATTAGGTCAGAAATTCTACTGAAAAATGACAAACCTATAATATGAATGATCTTTGAGTTATCTGCTATTTTGTCTTGTTTCCCAATGCTCCAATTTATTTGTCAAGGAGAAATAATAGTTGGCTTTACTTGCAGAGCTGGTCCAAAAATAGAATATCAGGAAGAGAAAAACTGGGCCCCAACTCTTCAAGGGGCTGGAGCAATGACACCTGAATCTGCTGAGAAGTGTCCCCAGGGTTGTGGGCTGCTTAATCTGTGGCACACCTCCTTCCACATGAAATGGACTGTGGGAATACTCTGGATGAACTCTTGGAAGGAATGAAATAAAATCTTGGAAAGACCAAGCAAGCACTTCAAAATGAGAAGACACATTGATTGCTACAGTCAATGAAGAATACAAGTGATTGCTACTCCCAAATAATCACAGATTCCCAAATAAAGAAGAAATTCAATTCCACTAATCCTAGATGTAATTATCTCCATGGAGGTTGGGGGAGGACCATTTCTAGCTGGTTCCCAGTGCTATCTGCAGCACCTGGTAGTATGAGTTAGTGTGGCCTATAGTCCTCTTTCATACTTGGTGAATGGATTCAGAGAATAAATCGTTTTGTCAGAGATAGAGGCTGGTGGTTTAGCACTTTCCTGCTATGTGCAAGACCCTATATTTGCATCACAAAAATAAATTTTAATTTAATTAAAATAAATAATTGTACCAGAATTAGAATTAAGTAACAAAAAATGACTACCAAGCATGAAACTCAGTCTAAGCTACAAAGAATGACAGCATGTCAATAGGAAAAAGTTCAAACTATCTTTAAGTGTTCAAACTATCTTAAATAAGTACTTTTCAAATATTTTTCTAACAGGCTTTAACTCTTGAGATTAAATCTAAGATACAAGCCTAATGATATAAAGGAAGTCAGCATGGAGCTGTTCTCCATATTGGCAAAGATGGGGTAGGAACCAGAAATTCCACAGATTCAGCCTTTCTTTTCCTCCTCATCAGCACCCATTAAGTACAACTAGAGATTAAGAAGTCATAGGTTAAAAGGACATCTCAACTCAACAGTGTAATCCCATCAAGCCCTTCTAAAATTCTGTACAGGATTGAGGAGAAAAGGCTGCAGCTGAGGCCCTGGGCCAGGAGACTCACCTCGTACTGGTGCCCCATCCATGATCTCGTACTTGGCTATCGTGTCGTTTTCGTGGTACACGTTGGGGCCTGTGCCCGTTGTTTCCCGTTTGATGATGTCTATCTCCATGTGCTTTATTTTGATTCTCACCAGCAGGAAGTATATCTTTCCTACAATGACATCTTTCAAGTGGTATCTGGGGAAGAGAAAGACAAGCAAAGTAAGATGTTGGTATAGTGGATGGTCTCTTTTTGTTTGTGTAGAGAGCACACTGCCGTGGCCATGCATGTTGGTTGGAGGTCCAGTTTCAGGGCACACTCCTTTGTCTTCCCATCCTCACTACTGTGGTAGAATGGTTTTCCAGTATGTTCTTTTCATGAATCTTTTTTTTTTTTTTAAGAACATTGTAGTTATACTTCCTAAATCTTAAGTGTCTTCTACAGCCAATTCAAAGGATAATACATGCTACTTTAACTGTTCATATTTGTTCATCAGTTTTATCTCCCCAGCATACACCTTTTATATTTGTGTATGTGTTTTTTATGTGTGTTTTTCTAATATTTAAGAGGCCAGCCCTTAAAAACACAGGAACCAGGTCTATCTGTCTTTCTGTCTTTTGGTAACTGGGCCTCAGTGGCTTACAGCAAACATTTCAGTTTGCTCTGAACTGGACAGACCAGGCACATATAGTAGAGTGAGAGAAGTGGAACTCCCTCTGCATCAGTGCCTATTCTGGGCTCTGCTCAATGACTTGTGCTCTGTGAACTAAAAGGAATTCAACCATATTATATAACACTTTCTCACTCTTCAAACTTTTCTTTAGGTCAGCCCATAGCACTGGTAGTCTGTGGACAGAGCCCTGTATGGCAGAAAGATAGCAAACTCCAAACCTGAAGCTTAGACTCATGGGACATGGATGCTGTTAGGGACTTCAGAATTTAACTTGCTTATAATTCAGGTGAAAAAAAAGGAAGTTGGAACAGAGAGATCATTTGACTAGGATGTGCACAGAGGGCAGAGACATGAGGTGAACCCAGGTTCCTGGATCCCAGGCTTGAGTGTTCCCCACTATTTCACAGCACTCTTCTGCTTAGTCTGTTGGGAAGACTACAGATAGAGTAGAAAAGCTCAGCACACTTGCAAAACAGCAGGAAACCACCTGCAACATTTCACAGGGACGCTTAGAAACCATGAATACTAAAGTTTTCTAAACTTTGGCAAATGGAACATTCCTTTTTCTAAATGAAATCTCACACAGAAGCATAATTGTGTGAGAGTCATTAAAAATAGTTGAAGGAAGGAGGAAGGTCTAAGGGTCCTGATCCCTGTTTTTTTCCTTCACCTCACACTGTGTGTGTCTGAAGCCCATTGACCTAGTCTATACTCCTTATTTTTCAGATGAGTTACAAAAAATGGCTAACCTTAGTCAAACTTTTTTTTTTTTTTCCTGTGCTAGGGACTGAGGTTAGGGCTTTGCACATGTTAGGCAGGCACTCTAACACTGAGCTACACCCTCAGTCCTTATTTTATATTGAGACAGGGTCCTGCTAAATTGTTCAGCCTGGCCTTGAACTTGTGATCCTCCTGCCTCAGTCTCCCAAGTAGCTGGGATTTCAGGTATGCACCATTGTGCCCAACTTACCCAAATTTCTTAATGGCAGAATAGAGCCTAATTCTTAGTCTTGGGTTCATTCTACTACATATAAATTATATATATTCTCATACAATACAATCTGTTGCAAGAAGAGCAGTGGTCTGTATTCATCCCCTGACTGCATGTAACTGCACCTTTATACACTAAATTCGGTCTTTTATACACTGCCAATTAATGGCTATTTTCAGCTCTTACAGGTGGCACTGTTGCTAGCCACTGCCTTCATGAGGTATTTGGGGCACAGTACAGGACCACACAAAGCCCTGAGGCAGTGATGATAAAAGAGAAGACTATTCCCATGTTGGGCCCAGATCAGCCTCCCTCTCAGCACCCCATTCCCTGGTTCCACAGGTGAGCCAAGCCAAGCCAGGTTGGTTCCAGGTCACACTAGTCATTTCAATGGGGACTCACTTGGCTCCAGGCCAGGGACAGAGGAAAAAAAAAATCCATGTTTCTTTCATGCCTGTTCCAGGAATCAACTATGTTCCTGGTTTAAAAAATTCCATTACCCTTCAAAGGCAAATCATCTGACTCAGGTCCCTTTACCCCTAGCCTCTGGTTCACAGTGGGCATGGGGGAACCACAGTGAGAAATGTAATTGGAGACTTTGACATTTTTTTTTAACTCTAACTAGAATATCCTTTTCACTTTCAGGTATTTGATTTTTAAACATTTTCTGGAATATACTATTTTTTTTTTTTAAAGATGGCCCTGAAACTGTCAGACTGCCAGAAAGTTTTGTGGTTTATAAGCAATTAAATATTTTGATATTTTTATAGTAAACAGTTTAATAACATGCACAGCTTCACAATTTGCCAGCTAAAATAAAGCTATCTTAAGACCTTTATAAAAATAAATCAGGTGTTCTTTCCACAATTCATTTTAGCAAACCATTGTCAGTGTTTGGTTTCCTCACTTAGATTTCTAAAGAGAGTGAGGAAACAAATGATAATGGAATTGTATTCTCTGATTATTATCAACCACAGAAAGAAATAGCTTTACATTGAATCTAAAACAATTTTAAAGTTAGCTTGAATTTGAAAGGCATGTTAGGATGTTTAACTTAAATATACCATTTTAATTAAATGTAGTTTAAAGTAAAAGTTTATATTTCCTAGTCCATCTATCTGTAACCCACCTAACATATTCACTGTATTATTTCTGTGGTATTCCTCCCCAAAGCAGGTCACATGAAGCAGTGACACTGAGCTCTTTGTCAGTTTGCATTCAGATCAAGTACTATCTTAACCTCCCTAAATAATTACTCCATAGCCTTGGTGCCCAGGACACTTACTTGGATTTATTGTACTCAAACTCAATGTGTAGGCAGTCCTCAATCCCAACTTCCATCTTGATAGAAGAGTTCAGCTCTGGGTATGTGCTGAGTGTGTGAACTACAATGTCCATCTCTTTAACAACATCATTGAGGCGGCGGCTGATAGTGGCTCGAAGGAAATAACTGTAGGAAATAGAGCTTGTCATGCATGAATGAACACTCCCAGTCTCCAGATGCTACCTAGATATAGGCAGCAAACTGACCCACTTAAGAGAACTCCTTACAGTAGTTCTTAATCTTTTGGGGCTTTCTGTCCTTTTAAGAATTTATGGGCCCTTCTCCCAGGAAATTCTGCACATGTGCACCTACACACAAAATTTTGCAACTATAATTCTAGGAAGATCAAAGATCTTCCCAAATCCCTTTTAGGAGCTTGGGCTTTGGTTAAGAATTCTGTTCTAAGTAAAAGTGATTTCTCGCTTCTGTACTCCAATAGTATGATATTCTTAGGTCTTTCATGACCCTTACCTCTATTTATTTCTTCAACTAACTCCCAGGTTTTTGAGTACAAGGATCTGTCCTATAACACAATTATATCCACATGCCTGTTCACTTAACTATATTCAATCAAAAAAACGTTTTTCAAGTTCCTCATGGTTGAAAGAGGGGAATCGGAAATAAAGAAATTAAGTAAGCTATCCATTCAGCAAACTTATTGAGCTAAGTACTGTATTGGGCATAGAATGAATAAGATGCAGCTTCATGGGAAGCTTAAAACTCACTAGGGGAGATTGGCAAATAAACTTGAAAATTAGAACACATGGAAAGGGCTAATTCACATACTGTAATCCAGTGCTGTGGGGAAGGAAAAAAGGGCTTTCCAAGATGAACAAACCTTCTTGTAAAGCACCAGAGTCTGACTATGAATAGCAAAGAAGTCTCTGGCTCAGCCTTGAAGAGGAGTTTGCTGTGCTTGGGAACAGGTTAGAAAGAAGACAGAAACCTTGCCCTTGAAGGTATAACAAGGCCAACCTCTGCAGCCAGCCACTTTTAACTGCCTTCCCCAGCATCCCTATTTCCTTGATGTGATGTGCTAATATCCTACAAAGGAGAATACAGCCCTTTAGTTATATTTTCTTGTAAACAACACAATCTTCAAGGCATGCTTAAGCATTGCTGGTGAAAGTTATAAAGATACGCTCATCAAATCAATTACACATTTGGACTTCTGTCCTCTGTATGGTATTAACTGCTTCCTGGCAATCCTTTTTAGTCATCTCAATAACTGTCACATTGCCCAAGACATTTGTTCTTAACCCTTTTAAACATTTTTTTTAAATCTTATTTTGAAGCAGGGTCTCTAAGTTGCCCAGGCTAGCCTTAAACTTGCAATTCCCCTGCCTTATCCTCCCCTGAGTAGCTAGAGTTTCAGATATGAGCCAATATGCCTGGAAATTTCTAACCCTTTTCTGGTTGCTCAGGTCCGGAGCTTATTCCCTGCCTGTGGAAGACATTGCTTTTTCCTCTACTAAGATGACAAAGAGCCAGGCCCAGTAGTGCATGCCTGTAATCCCAGTGACTTGGGAGGCTGAGACAGGAGGATCCCAAGTTCAAAGCTAGCCTCAGCAACTTAGTAAGGCCCTAAGCAACTTAGTGAAACCCTGTCTCAAAATAAAAAATATATAGGGCTGGGATGTGGCTTAGTGGTTAAGTGCCCTTGAGGTTCAATCCCTGGTACAAAACAAAACAAAAAAAATGATCTTCCAAGTCAAGATTTATAATTCTCTCCCTTGTCTGCTCTGTGCCATTTTTTTTAAACATAGGGCCTAAACATGTCTCTGTACCTCACTTGCCTTCCAGCACCATCCCTCTCCTAAGACCTTTTCTCTTCCATCTGATACAACCACTCTCAACCTGCACGCACATTATGATCACATTGCAGGAGGCCGAGAGGATTGAAAAATCCTGATGCCAGGCACATCTGACATGAAATTGCTCTGCTGAAGGTCAAAGTTGCCCAAGTAATTCTAATGTGGGGACCAACATCTTCATCCAACATCTTCATCCTTCTGCTTTTCCAATCTCTCTCATTGTCAGTCTCTTTCTAGCTAAAGACTTTGTCCTTTGAGTTTATTAAAAAAAAAATCCCAAACTAATCAATCCCCAAACAGCTCCAGGTATCATACTCTTAACCTACCTACCACAGGTTCCCTTTCTTTTTTTCCACAGGCAGCTATCACAAGACAGTTCCTCTACTGACAGCTGTATCACCTGATGAGCTTTTACATATCTATCTATCTATATATATAGATATATATATATAGGCAGTACCTCAAATTCCTCTCTAACATTAGATGAATCATCTAATTTCCCAATCATTTATTATTCTTGACAGTCCTGTCTCTGTCTCCACTGCTGCATGGCTACATTATTAGTACATTCTGCTGCTATCTATTAAATTCCTCCATTTCTGCCTGTTCCCATTGTCTCCACCAAAATAAAACTCTTAGCTTTGATCAATTCGGTTTTCACATTTTCCCCACTCATCAAATTCTACATATTGGCTTTTATCTTTCAAAAGAATCATTCCCATGCCTAAAACAAAAGGAAAAAAGTTCAGAACAATCTTTTTATGCTTTTCCTCTGCCTGTGTAATAAGATACACACTTAAAATACACACTTCAGAATGGAATTTACAAGTGGAATTTTACATTTTCTATACTGTCCTCAACACATTTTCCCATCTTTACCTCTTCTCTTTCTCAACGTGAATCTTAAAGTCTTCATCTAGACATACATCTTTCATTTCTTTTATTGTGGAAAAATACACATAACAAAATTTATCATTTTAACTATTTTTTAAATGCACAGTTCAGTGACATTAAGTACATTCACATTGTTGTGCACCATCACCATCAGTCATTGACAGAACTTTTCCTTCATCACCAACTGAATCTGTCCCCCATTAATAAACAGTAGTGTCCCCATTTCACCCTCCTCTCAGCTCTTAGCAACCACCATTCTACGTTTGTTCTCTATTAATTTGACTATTTTAGTCAAATTATATTACATATAAATAGAATTATCCCATATTTGATCAGTCAAAAAGGTGACTGGTTTGTTTCTCTTAGCATAATGTCCTTAATATTTATCCTTAAGGTTTTACCATACAATAGAATTTGCTTTTTAAAACATTATATGATAGTCCACTGTATGAATATACCACATTTCATTTACACATTCACTTATGGACATTTAGGTTGTGTCCTAGTTATTTTAGTTATTGTGAATAATGCTGTTGTGAACATGGATGCATTAATATCTGTTTCAGATTCTGTCTTCAATTCTTTTGGATATATAACTAGAATTGGAATTGCTGTAACATAGGTAATTATATATTTAATATTTTTGTGCATGTGGCTCTGGATATTGCACCCAGGCCCTAGCACATTTTAAGCACATGCTCAACACTGAGCTATACCCACAGCCCTATGTTTAATTTTTTAAGAAATCACCATTATTTCCAACACCTTTCTTTCTAACATAAAACTACTCAAGACAAATCTACTACAAGGAAAAAAAAAGTAATAAGTTCCATAGCCAACTTAAGTGCCATCTAGATGATGCTCACTATTACTGCCTTTTCAAAGTAATATGAGGAAACACAGTCTTTAGTGGTGATATGTCAATGCTCAGTGATTATACCTCCCTCTCTGAAAAGATTTAAAAAGAAGAATCTACAGACACTGCTGATGGAAGAGGGTGAATGACAAGGGGAGGCACAGGTCTAGTATAGTCTGTACCGTCCCAAACCCAGGCCTTCACGTGATAAAACAAGCTCATTGATGAGATGGTATCGTATTAAGACCTGGGATCATGTGTTCAGTAACAGAGGAGTCTGCTTTATCCCAATGACATCACATAATCTCAGGGTTGCACCTAAACCTTAGCTGTTGTGTAATTTTTCACCCCAGAGGCCCTGGCATCACTCCCTATCCTCAGCATTTCTAAGAATGAAGCAGTAAAAACAATCCCCTGTACTTACAATGTGTTAATTATTGATATTTTTACTGTTATCATTATTTCATGATATTAAACCCAAGACCATCACTGGGCTATACCCTCAGTTCTATTCATTAATTTTTAAAGACCTTGTTATACTGTGTTACATTTTATTTTCTAATCATTCCCCCCAAAGATGGAGAGGACAGATCTAGAATTAGAATTCAAATCTATTACCCATTTTTCAAGTGATAAAGGTAAGGCACAGAGCTCAAGATCACATGATGTTGTGTGCCAGAGCTAGATGGGGGTCGGTGTGTCCTAATACCCAGCCTGGGGTGTGGCTGGGGCCAGTTTAGCTGATTATTGAATTTTTAGGAATTTTGTTAAACACAGCTAATATTTAAAGTTAAATGACATAAAATTATAATTAAGTGAATTATGGTAAAAATAAGGGTAATATATACTAAAAACTCAACGTTTCCTAATTATTTTCCTAGACTTCACAATGTTCTTTGCTCTTGAAGAAATGTACACCCTATGACTCTATATGATGGTGATGCTATGTAAAAATCGCTACTGTACATTTCTCCTCACCTCTGTGTTCAGGGATACCAGGTTGGCAACTGGAAATTGGCCATGGTGGCAATACTTGACTACAGAAACTGAAGATGCTACAAACTGAAGAGCTTTTCTCTGGAGCACCCACTGTTGAATATTTACCAGTACATCATAGCTTGCACTTTCTTTCTTGATACCCACATAAATAGATCTTAAGAAACAGGGATATTTTCAGGTCCTCACCCAAATGGGCAGGTTCTGGGCATGGTGGAGAAGTAGCAGTGACAACTTACCGTAGCTTCACATTCTGTCCTGTGTAGGACTCATACGGCTTTTCCACGTGAGTAAATTCAAAGTCGAAGGCCTGCGACTGGGTGATCTCTCCGGGCCGAGCCAAGTCCTTCACCAGGGACACAAATTCATGGTGGTTCCCACGGTCATAGTAGAGTTCTGAAGAGAGAGCAATGCCTTCCCTATCAGACCAGGGCTACATAGGCCCTAGTGAGGGCACTGCAGGGTGGAGGTGCCACTCTTCTGAAGGGGCTTGCCCCCAAACAGACCCCTTCTCTCCTTGTTTTTAGGCTTTCCCTTTTTCCCTGAACCCATCCCCTTCACTGTTGATTATCCTTTTACATTCCTAATTTTTGAAAGTATATTCATAGTTATATAACTATATTATCCTGATGATAATCTTTTTTAAAATATTTATGTTTTAGTTGTAGTTGGACACAATACATTTATTTTATTTATTTATTATTATGTGGTACTGAGGATCGAACCCAGGGCCTCACAGGTGCTAGGCAAGCGCTCAACTGCTGAGCCACAACCCCAGACCCCTGATAATAATCTTGCAAAATGATGGATCAGGCCTTATCACCCATTTAACAGAGAAGAAAACTGAGAAGTTGCATGGTAATATGTCTGGATTACAGCCAGGGAGTGAGATTAGAGCAGGCCTCCTCTGGAACTACATCTGTATTTATGATTGGCTATAGTGAGGATAATAACACAACCTACTTTATAAGGTTTTTGTGAGGAGGTGAGGGTAATGTAGGTGAAGGATTTAGAACAGTATCTAGTTAATAATAAGTAGATCCACTAGCTGCTGCTCTCACTCAGAAAGGCAAGCATGTGGTCCACCTAACATGAAAGTTTTAATGTTACTCCCTCAAACTATAAATCAGTGGTGTTCCAACTTCAATGTATATCAGAATCCCCTAGAAGGCTGATTAAAACTCAGACTGCTGGGCATCAGGACTAATGTCTTTGATTCAGGCACCTGGGGTGGGGTCTGAAGATGTGACTTTTTAACCAGTTCTCAAGAGGTGCTGGTACAACGTTTGAGAAGCAAAGCTCTAAATTCATCCTCCTCACAAAACATTTCTGATATATATTCATGATAAGCTCATGCTATCGTTTGTCCCACATTATTTTATGTCTGTTTATGTTCTGCTATTTAAATAATAAGTTTTGCTGTACAGTCTTTCTTTTCCACTTTGGACTGAAAGCCCTTTAAAGACGAGTCCCTTATCTCCAGATGACCCTGCAGTGGTGAACAGTCAACTCTGACTGTAACACCCCTTTGGTATTTCACTCCACTTCCATATGAATTTACAATGTATTATGTGGCTATAGTTTATGGCAGATTTTCCTATGTAGTTATACTTTGACCAGTCTTTTATTACAAATGATTCCCTTCTTTTTCAAACACTAAATGGTTTCAGCTGTCGACAACATTCTGAGTAGTGAGCGATCATCCATAAATCCACTAGAGGGAGACGACAGCTAGAAACTATGTTCAGGAAAAGTGAGCAATCCAGTAACTGTCCTCCCCGCCACACCGCCAATAAACCTTTGAAACTGTCCTCTCACCCCCTACCCCCAATAAACCTTTGAAAGGATAGAAACAGACACTCAGCCAGCCCCAGTGACAAGGACTCCTTTACTCGCCACTGCTGCCTAAGCCCTGGTTGATGGTACTGCCTTCTATGTGAGAATTGAACTCTTAACTTGGGAACATGGTGCCTCAGTTCCTATGTGCTAGATTACAGCCCTATTTCCAGGGGACAGAAGCAGGCAGAGCAAGGCTCCAATGTCCATGAACTTTAAGTAGTAAATAATAAAGTCAAGAGGAAGATGGGAAAAGAAGAATGGAAAAATACACAAATGTGACCACACAGTCCAAAGGCAATTTGAGAACTAATGCAGGCTGCCAGCATTTGAGGATCTTAGCAACAGTGCAGAAGCTCTCTGCCTGCAGGGGACTTGGGCAAAAGAAGTCCTTTCCTGCATAGCATCACTTTGTCCCTAGTTCTTTTCTTCCTATCACACATTAACATCAGCTCTTCATCATATGCCACAGAAGAGTGGCAAGTATGTGATCTGAGCAGTGCTAGATTGGCCTTTTAAATTAATCAGTCATAAGCTATTTGCTGATTGGTTTTGTCTTGCATAAATTAAAACAGAAAGTCCAAAGTTGTTCTAAAAAGAGATTTGAGCCTAAAAAGACAGTGAACTGTCCTAAAGAAGCAACAATAAGCCATCCCTAATTCTTCCCAACCATGAAGCCATCAGAGACATACATTTCAGGCTAGAAGTAGATACTGGCTTTTTTTTTTTCCCCCAAGGTAACTTCTCTTTCTTTAGTTTTCTTCTCAGTTCAATAGGAGGAAATAACTTTCACACTTAGGATATTTTCATGGTAAAATTTGCCAGCAACGAACAAGAAATGAAGTTGCCACTTTGGAAGGAAATTGAGCCAGATTTACATCACAAGTTGATCTGTTGACAGATACCCTGGAACTCACTACTGGGCTAGGATCACATAGAGTCCAGGCTTCATGTTGGTCTTAGAAGAAATATAAATCAGCAAGAGCCTCCTTTACATCTGATTTTAATAGCCTGGTTGCAGGTTGGTAACCTGGTAAAGATTTGTGTTTGCCATAGCCTGCTCATATCTCCCAGCCTTGCTAAACCTGCAAGAACAATCATACCTCTGGGCTTCCTTCCCATACCCAGTTCTGCTCGGGACAGCTCTACTCCAAGCCCAGCTGGTAATTTACTAACTAGGCCAAAATCAATCTATTTAATCTCAATCTGCCTTTCACTTAGTACTTTGAGGGTTAATGAATTAAAATAAAAGTCTCTGGAGATTTTAAAAGTATAGGTTTGATTGGTACTGAGTTTATCAAAAACTTTTTAAAAAACTAGTTAGTATCTATTTGGTTTTAGAATACAGTGATGTTCATGTTTGGTTTATTTAACCCCATTAGTCTCCAAGATGGGTCAGATCTGCCTTACATCCTTCACCAGTGTTCCCCAAAGGATTCAAACTGAGAAATGTTTTTGTCTGCTTCTAACAATTCAGTTCCTCCCTCATTGCTCTTTACTTAATCTTTCTAAAAATGTGGGCCATTAGTTGGGTGGAATGACTAGATCTTAGACCTCAGGTTTTGAACTGGAAGGTTGCTTCACTACACAGTCCAAGCCACTGGAAAAAAAGTATGCTAGGTACTGGGAGGGTACCAATGTAATTCAAAAACTTACTGAAGATAACAAAAACATACACAATGTAAGTGAATAAATAAGATCCTACATTCATAATAAGGGCCATATTAAACTATTAGATCTGAGTAGACAGTGCAGGATCAAATGGACCGTGGTTCTAACAACTCCTATTTTCTCACATACAGGAAGAGATCAATGTCAACTTGACATAAGAGTGTCATTGAAGAAAGATGCAAAAGCAGATGAATTGATATTAGTTTTGGTGATTTTATTTCTTATCACAGTTCTCTCAGTGAGGATGCTGCTCTCTTGGGTACATACCAGTTATGAATCATTGGAGTCCTCAGTGGTCTTGATTAAGAGCTGTGCCTAGTTCCTTAATGCCTCCTCCACAAGCATAGTGGGATGTCCAGATGCTTAATGGTAACCAGCAAAGCAAACCTGCTTACTCCCTTTCTTTCATGAAATAACTTTGGTTTCTCTTGGAGCAGATAAGAAAAAAAAATCCAGGGAACAATTTCTGTAAATTCTTAGATCTGACCAATGTATCCAGTTAACAAATATTTATCGAGCACCTTCTATGAGTTAGCCACTGGGTCTAAAGTTTAGCCACTAGAATGATGATGACTGAAGATCTCTGGCTCTCAGGCAAGGAAGACAGAAAAGGTTTTTGTTTTGTTAAGGCATATCCTGCTTTAAAAGAGGTACCAGTGGGAGGAAGTTAGCCTGGGGAAGTCAAGGAAGGCTTTCCAGATGGGTATGATGTTTGTTGGACTTGAAAGAATGAGAAAATATGTGGGTGAAAAGTCATACTTTGCAGAAAGATGATAATATACAAAGTGAAGATCTCAACATTGTAGAAGGAATAGGATATGTTGAGGAAGATACAAGTGGTGAGGGTTAGTGAGAGATGAATTTGAAAGATGCTGGTGCCAGCTCATAGTTTTATCCTTGAACCAAGAGGGAGTCAAATATGAAGAACTTTAAGGAGGGGACTGACAGTGTTACAATTGCCTTTTACAGTTCATCCTTACTGAATATAAACTCAAGGAGAGGAAAACACAGACAGGAATATCAGGTAGGAGGCTGCTTAATAAAGGGAGTAGCAGAAGAATGAAAATAAAGCTCAGATTTAAAATAAACTACAGAGCTGTTGAAGAGGACGAAAATTTAGAAGAAAACTGGATGCATAAAGATCTACAAATGACTTGTACATTTCTGTGGTCAAATGGACCCAGGTGACATTGGACAAGGCCTTGGGTTCAATCCCCAGCACCACATACACACACATATACACACACACACAAAAAAAAAAAAAACACCAGGAGAAGCATCAGCATGGGGTAGGAATGGGGAGCAGAGATGTTTCTGTTTGAATATGTCTGTGAAGTACCTGAGGATATCAGACATGTTTTGCAGGCAGCTAGAAAGACAAGTAAAACTGAGAAGAGAGTTCCTGTCAGGACAAAGAAACCATTTGGGAGTCATCAGAATATAAATTGACACTTAAGTCATAGGTGCAGAGGAGATTACCAGAGAGTGAGAAGCAATAGGGGATAAAAGTTCTACTTCCTCTAAAACCCTATTTAAAATCAGTCGAAGGGGTTCAGTACTCAGTAACTTTCTTATACCTCTGTATCACTCATATTGCCACTCCTCCAAACTAGCAGAAGATCCACCCACTTGATACACAAAGAAGGCAATGAAGGAGAAAACCACAGGACCACAATTTCAGTGAAGTTACCCACGAGCCTCGCTCTAGTGCCTTGAGGTCAGTACATAATGATTGTCTTAGGTGGATGACACAATACTTCATGGACTGCTTTTTCAGGGGAGCCAGGAGAATAAAATAAAAACATAATAGTTTAAGAAAAGTCACTTTATGTCTCCAAATTGTCTGGTATGTCTTTACTACCAATTTTAGGAACAGAAACTCCCGTTTATATCAAATATAACTAGAAGATTTTTATCTAATGCCTTGTTCTTGATCAAGAAATATATCGAAAAACCAAATAATAAGAAAATCACCCACCACCCCCTATTATTCTACAACTTTCTTTCATGAAATAACTTTGGTTTCTCTTAGAGCAGATAAGGAAAAAACTACATTCTTTTAGCACATAGCTGGGATTGGCTCTCTATGCTATACCAGACATGACTTACCCACAATGCAGAAGCAAGAATTTTAAAGCAAAGGCTGAAATATGCACTCCCTCTAAGCAGACATGATAAGCTTATTGGGAAAGGATATAGGAGGTATAGGGGGAAAGCAGTATATGAATGATTATAATTGAATTTGTAAAATGGAAACATTGCTACCTCAGCTGCTATTATTTTTATAAAGGGATCAGCTATAAGGGGTGTGAGTCATGATTACCTAAGATGCTCAACATAATCACTGAGTGATTTTATTATCCTTGCCTTACAGTTCAGAAAGTTGAAGCCCAGGGAGAAGTCTATACTCCCCAGAATCTCATAGCCATCTTATCCCAGAGTGCCCAGGAGCCCAGGAAGAGTTATAAGTGGAAGCAATAACAGAAAATTTGGTAAGGATGATGTCTTGGAATTAAGGAGTTGGACAAGAAGCCAGAGACACCAAACAAGTTCCTCTGCCACCTTTTCATTTAGACCAGAGGGAAAGACTTTGATACTGTTCCTTCTAGATTGGTGCATTTCATATTATCTGGGGCAAGGGATATTCTGGGTTATCTTCCACATATTAGGAAGCTCCATACCACCTTGGAGTGACAGTACAGACACAGCTTAAACATGCCAGTCTACACTAGTATTACAGAGGCAAAGAAGTGATAACTTTAAAACACCTATTTTAAAATACCTATTATCAAGAGGAAGAATTTCTTGACTATTTTATTTGTTTGTCATAAAATGCTTTGTATTTATCCAATCTATACTGGGTTCTTTACAAGGGGTGATTTTTACCTTCTAGTAGACATATGGTAACATCTCAAGACATTTTTTTTGGTTATAAGTGGAATTGGATGCCATTGGTGTCTGGTTGGTAGAGACTGAGGATGCTGCTAAACATTCTGCTACAACAAAATGTTATCAGCCCCAAATGTCAACAGCACTGCTATTAAGAAACCTTGTCATTTAACCAGTAGCAGAAAAGCAAAAGGCGTGAAAACTAATCTTCAGCCCCATTTCTGGTATAGTAACAAACCTCTCATAGTCTGCCTTTAAAATAACAGCAAAAAAGTTTCCTATAGGATCAGCCAGTCCTCAGCCTAATTTATTTTCTTAAGTACCAGAGGCAAAATGCTTGGGGTTAGGTGGTGGACTTCAGAGCCAGGCTGCCAGGACTCCTTTTTCTTGGGTTTCTCCTACCTCTCTCTCAGTGTTTCCTACCTCTATAAAAGAGAGGAGGGAAAATGCTTTGCTGAACTCTGAGGATATGAGAGAGTTTAATAATATTTCCCAAGGAAGTCTCTAAAAACAGTGTCATATGAGCAGCATGGGGTATAGGGCATGGTTCTCTGCCACAGGTGTTTATGGCTCACAGAGTATTTACTGCGAACCTATTCGTGATCTCTTGACAAAAAAAAAAACATTTATTTTAGAAGTGCCTGAGCATTTTAATCACACACAAGTCTCTAAATAATCTTAGAATTAGAATCCAGTTTTGATGGGCAGCTTTCAAATTTTTTTCTTGTTACTGCCTCTTACTGTCTAGTTCTAATAGTAATAGTTAATAGTCATGTCAAAGATTGTTACAGAGCATTGAAAAATAAATTTTGATCATTTAATTGCTGCTTCAGAAACATCATTTCTTTGGCTTTAAGGAGAAAATTAGATGACTGAAGGACAACATTCGAATAGAAGTCTGAGAAATAGTCTATACTAGGCAGCTGGATTGAGGTAGAAAATTATACCTCTTCTTTTTCAAAACAGGCACAAGATAGGTTGTTTAGAACTGAGATAATACAGAACGGGTGAGTCTTTTCTCCCACACCATATCTAAAGAGAAAAAGGGGACTAGTTGGGGCACAGCTTAACTTTGGGTCTGACAGCTGTAGTTGTCCATGCAAAGGGAAAGCCAGAATTGAAAAATTGTTTCCTCCCTAACACACCCACCTGCCGGTTATGCCCAGAGCACCTCATTCTGAAATCCTGGGGGCAAGTAGCAAAGCTGGGAGCATGCTGAAGAGAATACAACAATGCCCAAGGCCAGGTGCCCATCTGACCACATGGCAGGGCGCTATCTCCCGCCTTTGGCTGTCACCACCTCCCTGGCATTGCGCTGTCACTTTGGGCAGGGAAGACAGTAACGCAGGGGGAGTCACCCACGGGCGGGACTTGTGGCTGAGCCCCAGGCCTCAGACTGCAGATGACAAGCGACTGTGACAGGCCTTACTGGAGCTGGGCCCTGAAACACTCTGGTCCCCGCCAGCCCTCAACTCGGCGCCAAGCCCCGTCTGAACCGCTCCAACAGAGGGTGGACGGGGGCGAGGGAGGAAGGGTGGTCCACTCACCAATCTGCCCGATGAACTCGATCTTGATACCCTGGTGCTCCAGGCGCTTGTTGGGGTTCTTGAGCGCAAGGCTCACCTTTCCGGAGACTGTCTCTCCGTCGTAAAAGAGGAAATATTTCTCTTTCTTCCCGTCCTCCGTCTTGTGCTCCGCTCGCTTCCTACTCTCCGCATCGTTCAGCAAGATTTCCACCTCCACGCTCTGCCCAAAGCCGAAGAAGCTCATCTCACCGCCAGACAGGGCAGGTCTAGGTAAGGACCGCTCCCTTCCTCCCGGGCGCGGGCTGCCCTAAGGGACAGAAGGCCAGAGGGCCAGCTGCGGCAGCGCCTTCGGCGACTGGCACCGCAGCTTGGCTCCGCCGCTGCGCTGGGCGACCACCGACTGCGTGTTCCAACGAGGAGGTGGAAGGCAGGGTGAGGCTGGAGGCTGCGGGCTGCAGCGTCCGGAGCAGCAATGCACGGAGGAGCAATGCAAGCCGGATCCGCTGGCTGCAGCTAGCAGGCGAGGGTCGGCGGTGCAATGCAGGGGAGGGCAGCCTTGCAGAGCCGTGTACAGTTCCACCGCCCGGTGCCAGCAACACCGCAACCTGCCTAGCCTCCCGCGGTGCAACGCACCGAGGTGCTTCGGCGGCTCGGGGCGGGGGTGGGGGGAGGCGAGCTTCGGCCCGGATGGGAAAGAGATGCCACGCGCATGCGCACACCTTATTCTCCCTCTCCGGCCGCTAAGCCACCAGGAGGTCTGCTCCTGTGCGCATGTGTAGTGCTCCCTTAGTTGACATGGCAGCCCCGACTCTTTCCAGCAGAATTCCGGCCCAACCATTCCGTAAAATCCGTGTGTTCTCAGAAGACTTTTGGTTGTTTTTTCCTTTTCATCTTAACTCGATAGACATTGGGCTACCATGACATTCAGATATATACAATGTTCGAGTGATGTCTGACCGCTCCAAGGTAGTTCTTTGACAGGCACGCGAAATGTCGCTTGACAGAGAGCAAAGGTGACTTATTACAGGAATCACTCTGTCTCAAATTCTCCTTAGATCTCCTCCCACATACAAAAGTGAGACGGGACTTAAGTTATTAGGCTTTAATTTAGTTCCTGGTCCTGCCTTAACGAGAACACACACACACACACACACACACACACACAAATCACCCCGTGGAACCTAGTTTAAGCCTCCAGTCTTAGCCTCAACCTCATTCTTTGCGCATGCGGCGAACGACCCACGTGATTGGTTGAGATAATAAAAGCCACCCAGCCTGGCGGTGGGTCGGTTAGAAATTCCTTATGTGCTGATTGGTCCGCAGGAACGTCTCGGAGCGCGCGCGGGAGCGAGCTTTGAAAGTTGGGTACGGCGGTGGCAAGCCGGGCTTCAGAGATTATGGTGGCCCTGCGGGACCTTGGGAGCGGCCTGCAACCATGGTTCCCGTTGGATCTCAGCCTCGGTAAGCAGACGCAGCCGCGAGTCCCTGGGAGCAGGACTAGGGTTCCCCAAGGGAACCTCAGCCCGGGTCCGGGTGCAGATGGGGGAGGGGTGGGGACACTAAACACTCGGCCTTGTCTGGGATCTCCAGGATTGTGCCGCGCCAGGATCGTGACCAGCTTGATTTACCGTGGGGTCTCAATATCGTTAGTTAACCGTTTTAAAAAAGAGTTTATGTTGGTTGATTTCTTCCACTGAGTCTGCATCTGTTTTTATGGCCTCCCCGATTTCATTCTTGGACATATCCATTCTCATCTCTTTCTTTAGTTTTAAATCCCAAATTTCTTTCTTCCTCTTGACTTATTTATTGTACTTCCTGTTCATAAGCATCAACTAGATGTATCACGTGTGGACATCAAACGTCACAAGAATGAAACTGGGATTCCTAAAGCCAGCTAATGGCACCAGTCAAGCTACACTTTCCCTTTCATGAACGCTCACCATAACCGGTTGTTCTGCTTACCAGTTCCATTCCCGATTCTGCCATCTGGGCCCAAGCCTTCATAGTCAACCTGAGAAATTTCTGGAGTATCTAATGTTAACTGTTCCTGTCCACTCCCTACACTGTGCAGGGCCACTTTTGAAAAAACAACTGTTTTCTAAATAAATGTCACTTTATTTGGGCTTATTAACTTGGTTATTAGATTTTTCAGAAAGAAGCATCCGAGGCCATCATTGATTAATTTTATTTTTTTGTAGAGAGAACTTATAGAAAAGCCTCATCATTAAGTGTGTTCAAATTTCATTCCCCAAAGCTTTTTAACATCTAAAAACTGTTTTCTTTTTTGATATTTTTATATGGTTAACCTAATTGCCAGTTATGGTTTAATTTTTTCATAACCTTTACTACTTTCTTTTAATGATGTAACATTTGTATTGCTGTAATTAAATGTGAATTGTGATTTTTGTCTTCATGAATGTATGTGACAACTTTTACTTGCTTTAAAGCACTTTTATTTTCATTACATTTTTCCCTAGAATGGGTACACACAGTGTGGGAACTGGACTTCACAGAGACTGAACCACTGGATTCCAACATAGAAGCAGAGATCATAGAGACTGGATTGAATGCCTTCACAAAACTTTATGAAAGTCTTTTTCCCTTTGCTACTGAAGAACATGAGTCCTCGGAGGTAAAAATAAAAATAAAAATTATTTTAAAAAATTAAGTAAGCCATCTTTAGGTGTTAAAAGTAGCAGTCATTATAATTTTAAATTTAGCTTTTTTCATTCACAATTCATAAAGGATACAATAAGAATAATAAAGAATATGGTTCATTCATTGCAACATCTTAATAACCTTCCTTCGAAAGATTTAATGTGCTTGTTGTTGATTTTTGTTTTTGTTTTGGTTTTGGTTTTTTTGGTACCAGGAATTGAACTAAGGGGCACTCAACCATCGAGCCACATCCCCAGCCCTATTTTTTATTTTATTTAGAGACAGGGTCGCTCTGAGTTGCTTAATGCCTTGCTTTTGCTGAAGCTGGCTTTGAACTTGCAATCCTCCTGCCTCAGCTGCCCCAGCTGCTGGGATTACAGGTGTGCACTACACTACTACACTTGACAACACAGGACCACTTTTTACCACAGCAAATTAAGCAAAAGTGTAAAGGCAAAACCAAAGAAGAAAATCAGACAATCAAAATATGAAAAAAAAAGGCCAAAAATAATAGAAATAACAATACAGACATGCCCTAACTGAGAAATGATTAGATGAATTACAGGTTTCCAAAGATTACCTTTAAATATTGAGTTCTACCTAGTGTGCTTATTAATACTTAGATCATTAACTTCTTTAAAAAAAAAAAAGGGGGAGGGTGCTGGGAAGTATAATTTAAAAAACAGATATTAATATTCTTGAAACATTTAAATTAACAAAAAGTGTCTTCATTACAGGTTGTATATACTTATTCAAAACTAAATTATCCCCAGGGAGAGAAGGGGTGGGTAATAAGGAAGGTGGTTATGATCAAAGCATTTTTGTGCATTATGAAAATGTCATAATGAGAACTGAGCATGGTCATGCATGCCTGTAATCCCACTATTTGGGAAGCTGAGGCAGGCATATTGCAAATCTAAGGCCAATCTAGACAATTTAGCAGGACCCTCTCAAATTTAAAATAGAAAACACTGGTTAGGTAGCCCAGTGGAGAGGAAAATCCTAGCATGTTATGAGGTCTGAGGTTCAATCTCCAGTATCTATCAATCAGTAAAATGTCACAATGAAACTCATTGTTTTGTACTATTAATATGTCCTGATAATTAATTCATCTTTGTAATGCTAAGCACTTCATTAAGTACCTTAGAAGACAGTTGAGATTAAGGGTACAGAGTCTGTCCCTTAGTAAATAGCCTTTCCAGAAACACTTGAGTACTGGTTAAAGTGAATCTAATGACCACATGTAGCTGCGGAGAGGGGAGAAGTACAGTGCCATCATTAGTCTAGGGAACCTAGAAGTATTTTGTGAATCATATTGTAAACAATGCTCCAAAAGAAATGCAGATATCATCTAATAGGGCCATGGAAAAGGGACCATGGTAGGATTGGAATGATTGTAGAAAGCAGTCAGCCAGAGGTGAGTCTTCACAGTTGGGTAGAATGTGAACTAAAAGAAATGAAGGAACGACACAATGGGAATATGCAGAGAATGTTGAGAGAATTGTGAGTGTGTGGCATGTGTCATTTTTAAAATGCATGGTGGGATACAGAACGATAAATTAGACTGAAAATAAACAGATCATGGGTAACTTTTTTTTAACTACAAAATGTTTTGTTTACAACTTCTACCTTTAACATATTTGTGCACTTCTAAACATCTAGAAAGACTAGAGGTTTCAAATAAGGTCTTAAGTTTGTTCACTATATATATAGTAGTGTTAAATAAACTATACACATATAACAATGTGTATCTCTGAAAGTATCTTCCTAATTAGGATCATTCTGGCTTAGAATCCTTCCTTTCTTCCACTTCCTTCTCCTGTGTCACATGCTATAGATATAGGCACACACAGATGTTACAATTTCACTTCCAAAAGTTCTTTTCGGAAGACTGCCTTTCTATGAATTTTAGCACAAAGTGTACAAAATGTGTGTTTATTACTTTTTTCATATATTAACATCCTCTATTACTATTTAGAGACTAGATATTAAAAAGTTGGGACCTCTTTGTCTGGTATATATACAATATATACAGTACAACAAAGTTAAATGAAATGTGCATTATAGGACAATGTGTAAGTTGAAATTTTTTAGCATGCTTTTTTTTTTTTTTTTTTTTAAACAGCATGTTGGTTCTTTATTTGTGTGTGTGTGTGTGGTTCTGGGAATTGAACCCAGGGCCTTGTACATGCAAGGCAAGCACTCTACCAACTGGGCTTTATCCCCCTTTTAGCATACTCTTAATGAAACACCTTTTACAACTTCTCCCCTCTCACCTCCCTCAACCCAGTGAACAAGTACTGGCAATATTCTGTTCAGAAATGGTTTAACAATTCCAAACACAGTATTTCCCATCAGTTTTTGTTTTGTTTTGTTTCAGTTGTAGATGGACACAGTACCCTTATTTTATTTATTTATTTTTATGTGGTGCTGAGGATTGAACCCAGGGCCCCATATGTGCTACACAAGCACTCTACCACTGAGCCACAACCCCAGCCCTTCCCATCAGTTTTTAAAAGCTGTTTACAAAAGGTCTTATTCTACTTCTACTTTTAAATATATGAATTACTTACAAATATATAGAAG